GTGAGTGTTATGTGTCTGAGGCCAGATTTGAACTCAGGTCCTCATGAGTCCAGGGCCATTGCTCTATCCAGTGTGCCACCTAGCTGCCCCTATGTCTGCTATTTGAAGACTAATTTGACCATAAGTAATGAATTTATTGGCCACGGAAGCTTTGGAAGTCTACCTGTTAAAATTATAGGGGTTGTCATCTGCAATGGGGGAAGGACCACTCAGTAAAATTACAGATCCTCAAAGGATGGAAGTGAGTGTATTTTTCTATTTTGATTTTTGGTGCCACACAACCTTTAATCCGAAGTGTCTGACTCGTTAGTCCTGGGATTTCTTTGTCCCAAATACTAATGAATATTAATACTAACACCCACAGCAAATCAAAAATTACAGGTTCACCTTCTAACTTCCATACTTTTAACATTTTATTGGGATTTACCTCTTTCACTTTATTTGACTTAATACTCTTCACATTAAATTGGGATTTATCTGATTTCCTTTCAGTTCCTGTTTGCCCTCATGCTGGAGGAGTTGGCCTTTGTGAGTTGGTACAGCATTTAATAATATTTGATTATATTTCAATATCTGGAAGCCTTGAAAACAGGTCAGTAATGTACTCTTTTAAAAACCTAATTAATTAATTAATTTTTAATTTTCAACATTTGCTTCCATAAGATTTTGAGTTTATGAATTTTCTCCCCCTTCCCCAAGATGGCACGCAGTTTGATATAGGATCTACTTATACATTCATATTAAACATATTTTCACATTAGTCATGATCTAAAGAAGAATTAGAACTAATTGGAGGAGCCACAAGAATGAAGCAATGAAACAAAACAAGAAAAGAAAAGGAGAACAAACAAAGCTTTGATCTGCATTCAGACTCCAGAGTTCTTTCTCTGGATGTGGATAGCGTTTTCCAGCATGAGTCTTTTGGAGTTGTCTTAGATCCTTACATTGCTGAGAAGAGCTAAATCTATCAAAGTTCATAATGTACTCTTGAGAATCATAGAAACTTAATTCTGGAAGGGACCTTAAGTAATCTCAATTAAGACTGATTTCTGCTTATCTAGTATCTCCAACCAGGTGTGTTTTCTTCTCCAGATATTTTTAGATTCAGCTGTGGTGACAGTGTTAACTCTAAATACATGTCTAGTTATGAATGAATGAACAAACAAAAAAAAGAATTTAGTGCTTATTGTGTGCAAAGCACTGGGGATACAGAGAGAAAAACAAGACATAGCAACGTTCTAGGAGGTCATATTCTAACAGGAAAAGATCATACACATAGGAGATTTCTCCTACAACTCCAGTGGAAGAGGTCAGTGGTCCACTGGGTACATCCGATGACCTTTCCATTGATAAAATCATACCCATTTCTGATGTTGAATCATTTAACAGCGGAAGGACTTTGGTTCGAAGAAATTTCTTTTTCTGAGTCTTCAGTAGCAATGGCTACAGAAGTGAGTGCTGCTTGAATCGCCCAACAGTTGTTACCTTAGATGATATTTTCAGGGCCTATGCTGAAATCAGGACTTATGATCTGAGAGTTGCTGCTAGTCCTGAGGCTCTTGGACTGATCCTGCCTATGCATGGTCTTCAATTGGTATTAAATTTAAATTAAAGTTGGTCTTAAATTAAAGGCTACATTGCCTCTTAGTCCTCACAAAATCAGTAGCAACAGCATTCATATTTTTTAAGGGTTACAGAGTGCTTTCCTCACATCACTGTAGGTAGGTAGTGCAAATATTATCTTCATTTTATAGATGAGGAAACTGAAGATTAGACACAGTAAATGAATTTGCCCATGGTAAGCACCAGAACCAAGATTTGAGCATGGTCTCCTGATTCCCAAGACCAATGCTTCTTCTACTATACCGTGTAAGCTCTCTAAATTATTGAATCTTAGGGTTAAAGGACTTAAGAACTAAACTGATCCCACCCCTTTGTGTAACTGGAATCTTCTCTAAAATATCCGCCACAAAAGGTTGGTTACGTATGCTCTTAAAGGCCTACATACAATGGAGAGCTCACATTTCTCAAGGTTGCCAAGTGCCAGGCCAGACAATCAGAAGCCAGGTACCTGAAACAGGCTGAGGTATACCCAGCATTGCTAACTCTGATAAACCTTGTCATTGTCAGCTGCTGCATAAGCTTGGCACACACAGTGCCCAACTGCTAGATGGATGATGCTTTGAAAAAAATCGAAAAGCATTTTCAAAGAACATCAAACATCATTCTGAGTAGTGTAGCATGTTGTTCTTTCCTCTTAGGAAATTAAAAGCATTGCCTTTACCTAATTTATGCACTAATATCTCAGTTTACTTTTTTCTCCTAGGATGTGTGAATATGTAGATCATCTGCACGAACACTTCAAGTATCCTGTAGTAATCAAAACAGCCTCTTACATGCCTCCTAAGGTAGGCTGAGGACAGTTATAGTAAAGTGTTTCTAAGATGTTGCTAGTGGTCTAAATGGATTCTCTTAATTCTGTCTTACATATTTAACAGTACCTACCCTAGCCCCTGTGATCTGGACCTTAAGACCTTGCCCATACCCCAGGGTTCTCTGGTATTCTTAAAGGGGGCTTGAGGGTGTCTCATCTGTGCCATTAGCTCAAGCCCCCACCAAGTGTGTTCTCTCAACTTTTGGGAGTCCACTGCATCCCAGTTCCATTTAATCACTTAAGTCATACTAGCCTTAACTGAAGAATATTTACTTCAAAGGTATAATAAAGACAAATATACAGGTATCCCCCCTGCAAACCTTGGGGTGAGGGGAATAGCATAATCCACCACTATACCACCTCAGTGTCTGGGGATGGGATTTACCTCAGTTCCTATATAGCACAATCCCACCAGCTTCAAAGTCCAAAACCTGACTTGGGCTTGAGTCCCAAGTACCTAGGCTCCCATGACAGGCAGACAGCAACATTTGGCCTGGAGTCCTGCCTCCAAGGTCACTATGGCTCAAGCAACCTATAATTTCACTGGTATAGGGAATCTCTTTACTAATGCAGAACTATAACTATTCTGTAAGTTGCCTTTTTATTGACTTGCCACAGACACCAAGAAGTTAAGTGACTGGCTCCAGGTCACAGTCAGAATGTATCAGAGGCAACACTTGAATCCAGATTTTCCTGCATCAGGGATAAGCTCTTTTGTCTATTACACCATGCTACTTTTCCTGTGTGGAATTACTTGAACTAAGTGGCTTGTTACCCGAGTTAAAACTGAAAAAGAGCCAGTTAGGAGACTTGTAGAGACTTTGATGATGCCTGATCATCTCCCAACCCACAGATAAATAGATAAGTAATTCAAATTGGATAATGGACTTTTCATTTCATCCCTCAGGTGACAGGTAAAATTTTCAGTAGTCATACTTGACACAGTTTCCAGGCATGTACTCAGCTTTATTATTTTGCTGGTTTGCTCAATTCCTTAAAAAAAAATAGTAAAACTAAAACATCGTGACTCCACCCCTGGAGGTATCTTCAACCTCGATAACATAAGAATTGTTCTTTAAGTTCTTGAAGTGACTGAGCAAGTCACTTCACCCTGTTTGCCTCAGTTTCCTCATGTGTACAATGAGCTGGAGAAAGAAACGACCAACCACTCCAGCATCTCTTCCAAGAAAACCCCAAACGGGGTCACAAAATCAGACACCAACTAAAACGATTGAACAACAATAACATGAGTAAACTGAGCTTGACAGGTTAGGTGATAAAAAAATATGTATGTCTCTCATGTTATTATTCAGTCGTTTTAGTTGGTGTCTGGTTACTTGCTCAGGATCACATAGATAATGAGGGTCTGAGGCCACATTTGAATTCAGGAAGTTGAGTTTTCCTAACTTCAGGCGCAGCACTCTATCCACTGTACCACCTAGCTGCCCACTTACTCATCTGCACCTCGAGGATAACACTAGCACCTACTTCACGTGGTTGTTGTGAGGATCAAATGAGATAATATTTGTAACTAGACGTTAGCTATTGTTATCATTCAATTAAGTAATTGCCTTTGTAGGCTTAACTGTCAGGGCCAAGAAAAGTAGGAAGTTTTCCCAAGTTTATTCTTTAGTTCTCAGTTCAGTTTAATGATATACAGGCTTATTTAAAGTCTTAAAAGTTGACAAATAAATTCAATTTAAAGCATCTGGGGTCTGATAATTAAAACAGCTCAATTGCCTTACAGTTGGGTTTTCATTAAAAAGAGGTCAAAGCAACTCTATTTCTGAGAGTAGCAGTATCACACTGGGCAAAGAAGGCTGACATTTCTGTTCCCTTGAGATAATGTATTTTTATTATTATTATTATTATTATTATTATTATTGTTATTAAGGATGCCGGCTATTCCACAGAAATGAAGGAAGAGTCTGTAAAGAAGCACCAGTTTCCAGAGGGTGAAGTTTGGCAGAAACGCATGGCTGCTCAGCAAAATTAAGTTCTTAGCCTAACTCTGGCTTTTCCCTCTAGTATAGATGAATTTTTAATGAGGGAGAGGGGAGGGAAGCTTGTCTGATTTGACATATCAAAATAACAGTATTATCCAAATCACTGTCAAGATTTAAACCATTCAGATAAATGTCTCAGGTATGATCCTCAGTGATCTGAGCCATATTCTTTGATTATTTTCTTAAAGAGGAAGTAGATTATCATGTATGCTAATGTTTCCCTGTAGTATTGACATTTAAATGTTAAACAACATTTTAAGAATTGTTATGTTAAGAATGTTATGTTATGTTGTCAGAATGTTTCTGCTATTCTTTGCTGTTTCTACAAATGTATCAAAGAAAAAAAAAAGAAGCCCTGAAATTCCTGGTATGGTGTTTGATATAGAACCAAGGGCAAGACAAGAACACTGAGATTTCAGAGGAGTTTTTGAGCGGCTCCTCCTGGTCTCTACTGTTTATTAGAAAGAGCAAGTGAGGGAAAGCTGGCCCCCTTTCATTCTTTTAACACGTATCTTCCAAGAATTGACTGTGTGCCATGGGACGGACTTAAAAAAAGTCACACTATCTCCTAACTGACATTGCTATCTGAATGGGTAAATCAGCCAGGTCTAAATGGAAAAATTCTTTACAATTCCCTAATTAAACCATAACAAGGAAGCTTGGGAAATGATGGGAAATTTGCACAATTGTGTTCCAATATTGATTGCTTGAATTTTATGCTAAGAAAAATGCCAACATGTTTTAAAACTTCTTGTGTGGATAAAAGATCAAGTAAATCTTATGACATTTATTCAGTAGTCCATAAATATACACTAACTATACAAATAAATCTAAATATATATATATATATATCTATATATCTCAAATATAAATATTTCTATAAATGTAATACTAACTATACAAATAATGGTGGGGGTGTGTAAGGGTAATGAAATGATTCAGAATTAGAGAATTTAGAGGTACAAGAAGCCTCATAGGTCCAATCTAATGCCCTCATTTTAGATGAGGAAATCAAGGCAGAGTAGTGAAGTGACTGGTCCAGAGTTGGATAACTGCTTAGGGGGAGGCAAAACCAAGAACCCAGGGTCCTGACTTGCTGTCCAGTACAGTACACACATACCCCCTCAGTACATGAAAGAGAATAGGAGTGGGCCTGAGTGCTGGGCTAGGCCCTGGGTGTGACTTTGGATACTGAGACTACAAAGACTAAAATTAACCTTGCCCTCAAGTTGCTTCTATACTTTCAGAGGAGAGGACAAGGATCTGCCTGTGCAGGCAACTTGAGACCACTGAGAATCAAAGAAGGCCGTGTTACTTCCAACAGAAGTATCTTTATGACCCATAAAGTAGGATATTTGTAGGGGCAAGGTTCAGCCACGTGGAATCCCTCCCTCCTCAGGACAGCTCCCATCACAACCCTTCTCTCCTAAGCCATGCCTTGGGAAGGCTTGGCACAAAAGCATTACTGGAACCAGCAGCTTTCATGACTTCATCTATTTGAAACTGTTTCCCATGCCGTTCATTCCCCAGGGGGAAAAAAAGGAAACCTCCTAAATCCAAAAAAGATCATTGAAGAAGGGATTATCAATTCAGATTCTGTAACAAGCAAAGTCTACCAATAGCAAAATTCTTTGTAAAAGGTAATATAAGCGCATTTCAGGAAGTATAATTCTATACCCAAAATATGTTATAAGTGACTGCCATGAATTCATTGTATATGCAATGTATTTCCCATCTTTGTGACAAAATATTTACATTCTAGTAAATTTTTAAATGGGAAAGTCGACTAGTGACATTTTAGTCCTTACCTGCCACAGTGCTTAGCACTTTAGCTCCATAAAGCATCTGTTGATGGAGATAGCATGACCAGAGAATTCATGAGTACACAGCTGTACTGCTTTAGAGAATAAGAAAAGACCTATTCTGTAATGCAAGAACTGCTTTATTTTAATAATTACATAAGACAAATACTTTGTTTATAACCATTCACTTCTGTTAAAGTTGTGTGTGTATGTACATAAGATAATAATCTGATCTGTTAGGACTTCTGTTTATGTCACAGGGTGAATTAGATTTTCTCCACTCCTAACCCTTTTCCATGTCTTCTTATCCTGGAAAAGATGGAACTTGTTTTCAGCCGGGAATCAGGCTGCTTTAAACAGCCATCTCCATTTTAATAGCTGGGTGAGGATTGTAGTCTTCAATCAGGAAGTCCTCAGCCTGGAAATCATCAATGGTTTTAACTTCTCGAAGAATTCTGAGCTTAGGGAAAGGTCTTGGTTCTCGCTGAAGCTAAAAGTTAAAAGGTAAAAATCAGATTACCACTGCACACCTACAGAAAATGGCTCACCAGAATTTTCAGTGGCTCATCATGTAGGCACCATATTTCACATGGGGCATATATAGCAAAAACTCCAGTCTCTACATAGCGGCAGTGGATGGTGTTAGGCCTGGAGTTGGAAAGATCTGAATTTAAATACAATACTCTATAAAACCCAATTCTAGGGTCTGTATTTTAGTTTTTGTGTGTTGTTTTTGTTTGTTTGTTTTTGTTTTTTTAGGCAGTTGGGGTTAAGTGACTTGCCCAGAGTCACACAGCTAGTAAGTGTCAAGTGTTTGGTCTGAGGCCGAATTTGAACTCAGGTCCTCCTGACTTCAGGGCCGGTACTCTATCCACTGCACCACCTAGCTGCCCCCTAGGGTCTGTATTTTAGAAATAAATTATAGAATTACTGGACAGTTGTTATGCTAGTAATAGTGAATGGACTAAATCTAATAAGCAGTTAGACTACCAATGTGTATGTAGTTTTGATAGGAGCTACAGATGTAGCTGCTTTCCATGATGCCAAACTGTTCGTTATTGCAAGGACTGATGTCTTCACTGTGGTATTCCCCTAGTGATGCAAATCATAGAATACTACATATTTGGAAGAATAAACAAGTAACCCAGAGAGTGACAGGAAGTCTCATGGTGGGCATTCATAGGCTTACTATGCATGCAAGACTGGTATAAAAAAAATGTTATTGGCATATAGAGTACTGTGTGCCTGGAGTCAGACCTGAGTTCAAATGCAGTCTTAAACACTTCCTAGCTGTGTAGCTGCGTTTATCCATTGCAGAAGGAAAGGAAAGGGAAAGCCACTCTACTAACTTTGCTGAGAAAACCTCATGGACAAATTTAGAGTTGGACACAACTGAACATATACACTCAGAAAATTGTCTTACCTGAATTTTCAGTGGCTCAATATGATTTGAGTATATATGAGCATCTCCCAGAGTGTGTACAAAATCACCTGGCTAAAATACAGTGAGAAGAAACAAAGAAGTAGTGTTAGTTAAAACTCAGATCAAAGAAAACAGTACAAAATCCACTTTTCCAGAACACAATAACAGTAATAAGTCTTAAACTTACCATGCTTGTTTTAGACTTAGGTCTCTTAGGTCAAATCCAACATTCTTATTTTATTTTTTTAATCAATTGACTACTAATTTTATGATCTACTTCTCTGTTAGTTTTAAGAATCCTCTCTATTTTTTTTAATCCTACTTCTCTAGATTACCTTATGGCCCTATATATATGTTTTGAGTTGCAAATCCTCCACATATGCCATCCACATTTCATTTGAAAGAGGAGGAAACTGAGGCAGATGAAAGTTAAGTGCCTGAGACAGGATTTGAACCCTGGTCTTCCTGACTCCAATCTAGGATTCTGTCCCCTCCATTATACTGCCTCTCATCAAAAGCGTTCCTTGTAATTAAGTCCCAAATTTTATTGGAAGGTAAAGAATGAAACAATTCTCACTTTTTAAAAAAATTCTAACTGAAGAATGTGGTTCATTTGGTGCTTAACTTAAGAGGAGAGGGAGTTTCCTACCTTTAGGCCTGTGATGTGAGCAATCATGTAGGTTAGCAGGGAGTAACTGGCGATGTTGAACGGCACTCCGAGGCCCATATCTCCAGATCGCTGGTATAGCTGACAAGAAAGCTCACCATTCAATACATAGAACTGACAGAGAGCGTGGCATGGAGGCAGTGCCATCAGAGGAAGATCTGAGACCAGGAATGTGAAAAAAGGGAGATAGTAAGAGGATATCAGCATAGCTCTAAAAATATGAAATATAACAGGACACACCAGCTGCATGCTGTACTCATTTGACCTGGTCTCAAAATGACCCTTTATGATGATAATAATAGCTGGCATTTATATGGTACTTTAAGGTTTGCAAAGTGCTCTGCAGATATCCTCACTGAAAGGTAGATACTATTATTATCCCCATTTTACAGAGAGGAAACCGAGTCAGGCAGAAGTTAAGTGGCTTGCCCAAGGCTTCTAAGTGTCTGAGGCTGGAATTGAACTCTGGTCTTCCTGACTGCAAGTCTGGAACTCTATTCACCTAGATGTTGCAGTGACAGTAAGAGAAAGATATTTAGTTATTGTGTTAATCTACTAGGGTTAATACAATAACTAAATAAAACTCTTTATGGCCAGAGACTTTTGATTTTTCTCTTTGTACCCCTGGTGCCTGGCACATAATTTGTTGTTGAGTTGATAGTGGAATGTTTTGCCATTTCCATCTCTAGCTCATTGTTATAGATGAGAAAACTGAGGTAAAGAAGGTTAAGTGACTTGCCCAGGGTCATATAGCTAGTAAGTGAGGCCAAATTTGAACTCGTGCAGATGAGTCTTCCTGATTCCAAGCCTAGTGCTCTATCCACTTGCCACCTAACTGCCCTGAAACATAACAGTAGGTGTTTAATGCTTACTTGGAAAAGATAAGAATTCTAACCTTTCATATTTAGTTTCTTTCTCTCAGTATAGCAGGATTATGGTAGGTACCTCCACACCTGGTTTCATATGGAGGTAACAGTGGCACCATCTTATTCTTAACAGCTGTTTTAAAACAGTGCCTGTTAATGACACTATTTGGGTTCTTCTTGGCAAAGATCCAGCTCATTTTACAGATGAGCAAACTGAGGCAAACAGGTTTAGGTGATTTGCCTAGGGTCACATAGCTTGAAGTCTGATTTGAACTCGGGTCCTCCTGATATCAGGGCCAGTGTTCTATATACTAGCTGCCCAGCGACAGTAACTAAGGTTGATTCCCTCCAGCTCTAAATTCTACAATGTTCTGTATTCTTTGTTCTTATCCTTATTTATTATATTTCTGAATTTTTTTTTCTTTTGTTAATGTGCCTTCCCAGAACAGAACTACTAAATGTTTTTGTTGCACAGGTCACCGGTCAGTCAGAGATTCAAAGAAAGCCCTTACTCTGTACTTCTTAAATGCTTAAATATCCCAATTATATTTTCCCCACATAATACTATTTTATTTTTTCCATTTACATGTAAAGATAGTTTTCAACATTCACTTTTATAAAATCTTACAAGATTTTGAGTTCCAAATATTTTTCTCCCTCCCTCCCTAAGGTGGCAAGCAATCTTATATATGTTATACATGTACAAACATATTGAACATATTTCCACATTAGTTATGCTGTGAAAGAATCAGAAGAAAAGGGAAAAAACATGAGAAAGAAAAAAGTAAGCATTGATCTGCATTCAGACTCCATAGTTTTTCTCTGGATATGGATAGATAGCATTTTCCATCGCAACTCTTTTGGAATTGTCTTACATCATTGCACTGCTGACAAGAGCTAAGTCTATCAAATTAGTCATTGTACAATGTGGCTCTTACCATAGACAGTGATCTCCTCCTGGTTCTGCTCACTTCACTCCGCATCAGTTCGTGTAAGTCTTTGCAGGTTTTTCTGAAATCCGCCTGCTCATCATTTCTTATATAACAATGAGCAGGCGGATTTCAGAAAAACCTGGAAAGATTCTGATGTTTTTGAAAAACCTGCAAGCACGGTGGCCAGTTTATGATTACGATTTATTTTAGGGGGTAGCTACCTTTAGGATTCCAAGCACACATAATGATCCTTCTGTCATCAGGATTGGTTTTGATTGTGTCAATGACTTTTTGCAGTTGATCCACTCCTTGTCCGGAATAATCTGAAGGGGAAATAAATTCCAGAAATATTTATAAACAATAGAAAAAGACAGAAACAGAATAAAGAAGATTGTAGAATCTTAGAGCTGCAAGGAATAGATCTTAACCTTCTACTTAAAAATGCTGAAATCATGAAATAGCCTCTTCAGAGTGCTAGAAAGTTCTCTTTGTGGGAAAGTCCTTTCCTGGACTGACATGATGCTTGCCAACAGCTGTTACTTGGCTCTGAATTTGAAAAAACTTTTTTCAAAAAAGGATAGTTAGATATAAATTAAGGAAACTATGTCCTAGAAGAAACAGAAGGCCAAGTACAACAGGTGGTAGCAGTAGTTAGATCAGACAGGTCAAATCCCAGGAATTTATGAGGGCCTCTGATGACAAGTGCTTTACTGTAGACAGAAATTACGTTAGTTTTTCATTTTTAAATTCAATTTTATTTTCAGTTCCAAATTCCCTCCATCCCCTTCCCCAACCCATTGAGAAGGCAAGAAAAACAGCCTACTAGTACTACAAGGCATAATCATAAAAAACAAATTCTATTGTATTTCTATATGTATAAAGCACTTAGGTTATTATATATTTGTAAAAAGATAAACACAGGCAAATGGGGAGGGCTCCCTGAAAGACAAAGATGGGAAAGATGGACCAAGGGAAGGTCAGTAATTTCAGCTCTACAAAGCATTTGCTGGGAAATAGGACTTGTGGGAGGTTCATGGAATGGGGATGTGTGCAAAGTTTTGAAACAGACAAAGGCAAGAACCATAAATAAAGGAAGGTCCTAGAACTTAAAAAGGTGTAGCTATTTGGAGTTTGTAGAATGGGCCTGTTAGTCTTGGGTTCAAATGCTACCTCTTGACACTCAGTGTGATCTTAGGCAATTAATTTAACCTCCTCAGGCCTCAGTTTCCTCAAGGGGGTTAGATTACCTCTGAGGTCCCTTCCAACTCTAATCTATGATCCCCTGGGGAAGCTGCTTTGGGGTTTAGCTTTTTAGCTTTGGAAGCTCTTCCCTGCCTCCCAGGCATTTCTTCACACAACCCTGAACAGAGATATTTCTCCAGGAGACCTCATGTGGCTAGAGACTGAGTGTATTTTTTTTTTGTTCCCCCAGTATACGTTTCTTATTTCCCCACACTCTTGTCTGAAATAAAAGAATACGCCTACACTCTTGGGAACACATGTGAAAACTTGACTCATCGCTCACATCTCCTTACCTGTGTTCATCTCTTTGTATTCTGCCCCAAAATGTCTCCACTGGAAGCCATATACAGGTCCCAAATCTCCTTCCTCTCTGGTAGTGAACCCCTGCTTGTCCAAAAAGTCTCGAGATCCATTGGCGTCCCAGATTTTTACTCCTTTGGCAGAGAGCTCCTTAGCATTTGTGGAACCCTAGAAGAAGTGGGGAAAGAAGTCCGGTCATTCTACCCACCTCTCAGAAAACTCAAGGGCCTGGCAAAATGGTGGTCTTGCCCTCCGTGAGAGAGAGACAGGACAGTGCAGTGGAACCACACTTAGGAGACACGAGACATGTGCTTGACGCAGGTTCACTCACTGAATCACTTTGGACAAGTCATTTAATTTCTTTGACCCAAAGCTTCCTTATCTATAAAATGGGGATAATAAGGATGAAACCTGAATTGCACTGTACCCACCCTCACAAGGCTAGCATAAGGATCAAATGAAATAACAACGCATATTTAGAGAGTACTTTATAAGACTACCTTGCAAGGTGGGTCAAGGTGATACTAGTATTCCCATTTTCCAGATGAGATAATTTGTACTGAGTGAAAAGTGTCACATAAGTGCAAACTAAAGAGAAGAAAAAAATCAAATATCTATTTCTTGCCCCTCCTCCCTCAAACCTTCAGCTAAAAAAGATCACCTTCTCCCTTGAAGTCAATTCTTCCGTCACCTCCTTGCCTTTTCTGAACTGGACTCAAAACCAGTTTTTCTAAGCGCTATCACTTTCAATGCATTTTTCCTATCTTCCAAGTAACTCTTCAAAATCATCCATTCTTCATTTCTTTTCTCATAAAAGTTTCTTGTTTTGAAAGTTCCCATTTCTCTCATCTTTTCTTTCAAGCTACCCAAGGTTTATTAAGCACCTATTGTGTAACCAGTACTGCTGGGTCCTGGAAATCCAGTGATGAAAGATGAGGTCCCTGCTATCAAAGAAGGTACACAATCAGAATACAATTAAATGCGTTTCAGAGATGAGAGTGGAAGAGGAGATTAAAGAGGGAGGGCTAACTTCCAGCTGAGGGAAAGGGGAGGTGGCTTTCTGAAGGCAGTGGACCTTGAAAAGAATTTCACCAGCTGTGGCTTCCAGGCCTGAGGAACATGCAAATTACAGAGACTGGAGAACAGGATAACGTGAGGGAGTGGATAAGTATTAACAATTCGGCTGGACTGTAGATTGTGTTCAGAGGAGCAGTACACATTAAGCCAGAAAACTAGGTTGAGCCATATTCTGGAGAGCCTTACAGGCCAAGCAAAGACGTATTTTAATTGTTGGGCAGTAGGGAGCCATTGAAGATTTCTGAGCATGGAAATGAGCAAATTTTTAGCAGCAATGTGGAGAGTCTGGAGGAAGAGGGAGACCAGTCAGGGGGGCTGTTTTAATAATGCAAACAAGAGAGTTAATGAGGGCTTAAATTAATGTGCTAGCAGTGAGTGGGAATGGAAAGGGCTAAATGTAAGAGATAATGCCAATGCAGAACCAGCAGGACTTGGGAATGGATTAGATGCAGGGAGAGAGAGGGAGGAGTCAGGTTTCAAGTCAGTAAATATTAAGTACTTTTTTTTTTGGCTAGGCAGTTGGGTTAAGTGACTTGCCCAGGGTCACACAGCTAGTAAATGATTAGGATTTGAACTCAGGTCCTCCTGACTCCAGGGCTGGTGCTCTATCCACTGTGCCACCTCGCTGCCCCGGTAAATATTTTGAAGCACCTATTATATGCCAGACACTGCTAAGCACTAGGGATACAAAGAAAAGTAAGAGACAGTCATGTTCTCAAATACAGCCTAATAAGGGAGATAATGTGCAAATAACTATGTGGTAACAAGGCGAGTACAGGACAAATTAGAGACAACAGAAGGAAGCACCGAGATTAAAGAGGACCAGAGAAGGCTTCTTAAAAGAAGATTTTGGCTGGGACTTGAAGGAAACCAAGGAAGCTGGGAGATTGGAGATGAGGGAGAGAATTGCAGGCATGGGGAAACAGCTACAGAATATGCCCGGAATCAAGATGTCCTATGTGAAAAACAGAAGGGAGGCTGGTGTCACTGGACAGGCTTTGAAACCACTTTGGAGAGGCATCTGGAATTATGCCCAAAGAGTTATTAAACTCCCTTTGGGACAGCAATACCACTACTAGGTCTGTTTCCAAAGATGATTAGGGGAAAAGGAAAAGAACCTATAAGTTCTAAAATATTTATAGCAGCTCTCTTTGTGATGGCAAAGAACTAGAAATTATAGGGATAACTGTTAATTGGGGAATGGTTGAACAAGGTGTGGTATGTGATTGTGTTGGAATACTCCTGTGCTGTAAGAAATGATGAGCTCTCGGTGATCTTAGAAAAAGACTTCCACAATATAATAGATAAGACTTGCACGAAATAATAAAGAATGAATGAGCAGAACCAAGAGAATGTTGTATACAGTAACAGCAGTATTGTTTTAAGAACAACTTCTTAAAACCCAAGGCATTTTGACTACTATAAATACCCAAGTTAACTACAAAGGACATACAAATGAAGATGCTATCTGCATACTGAGAAAGAATAGAATAGAAAAGAATAAATAGATGTATACATATTTATGTCTTAATGGTATATGGGAAGGAGGGAAGAATTTACATTATTATATATTTCAAAGGAATAGCCATTTGTACATAATAGATTTATAGTTTCACAGGCAATCTTTATTCTATAAGTTAAAAATTAAATAAATAAATTTTAAAAAAAGAAAAGAACCTGGGTATGTCATCAAAAGAAACATACTCAGGAAGAAAAGCAGACTGGGGACAGAGAGGGAATGAGGAGTTCTTTTTTAGACCAGATGACTTTGAGATGTTTACACAATATCCAAGTGTTATACCAGCAGGCAATTGGAAATATAGGAATGGAGCCTGGGGAGAGATTAAAACTACATTTGAGAAACATTTGCATGAAGGAGATAACCAAAGTCATCATACTAGATGAAATTGCCAAGGCAGAGAAAGACTCTCGAGAACTGAGGATGTCCACAGTTAAAGGGGAGGAGGAGGAAGAACCTTAAGACACAGGAGGAAATACAGGAGTGCAGTATCAATTTTCCCTTCCTCAGCTCCTGACTCTTCATGACCTCGTTTGAGGTCTTCTTTGAGGAGATGCTGGAGTGGTTTGTCATATCCTTAGGAAACTAAGCAAACTCGGTTAAATAACTTGCCCAGGGTCATAGAGCTAGTTAAGGGTCAGAGGCCTGGTCAGGTCTTGCCAACTCCAGGCCTGGCATTCTATCCACTGCTCCGCCTAGCTGCCCTAGACTTTTGGCTTAGTGCTATTGACTCAAGTCAATAAAGATTAGGAAACTGAATCTTTTTGATAATGGGATTTAGGGTTAGTCTAATTAGTTTAACACCTGGGAAGATACATTAGACCTTTCATAGAGCATCCATAGCCTCCAGGAATGAGAATCTCCCAGCTTGTGGGTAGAGGAGGATGGCCAGAAAATGACAAACACTGAGAGGAGGAAGATAAAGGCAGAGGTCAGAGGGGTTTTGGCACATGGCCAATTACATCTGACTGTCTTCCCTTCCCAGTGAGCCATTTTTAATCCAGTTCTTGTGAACAGTGATACTTTTTCACTAAGAAGATTTTTTTTGTTTTTATCTTAAAAAATAGTTATTGATATCTTTCTTATATACCTTCTTCCCAGATATGTCTCTCCCTCCCTTTATCTGGGGAGCCAGCTGTTAGGAAAAAAAAAACTAGCTCAGAAAAACTAATCAACAGTCTTCTAGTATATGTAACGTTCCACTCCCATAGGTCCCCCACCTCTGGGGCTTCCATTTTCTAAGCAGATAACTGCTGGCTTCCTGTCTGTACCAGCAGTGAGGCAGAGTTTAACATCATGATGCTACAGGAAACAAAAGCAGTAATAACACTGTGTTCTTTAGAGAAGTTAGATGAGAACTTCAGGCATCTTTACCTTAATAAACCACAGCAGTTCCTCCAGCACACCCTTCCAGAACACACGCTTGGTTGTCAGCAAAGGAAACTCATCTAAAAAAAAATCCACAAAGAATCATAGAAAATTGAATTAGAAAGTAAGGCCACACAGAAAGCACTATTCTATGCTGCTTCAAAAATCTGTGGTGGGGGAGTCACTGGTGTCCAGGAGCACATAGCATTGATGTAGGTTGCTACATTAGCAAAAAACCAAACTAAAAAACGATGGATTCAGTGCAACTAGCCTGTGTTACCACCTGCCACACACAGTAGGGGGTGTTCTGCTGAGAAAGGTTAGGATGCCAGCATGGAAACAAAAACCTGTTGTAATGTGTCAGGCAAGCTGCCTCTTAGCTCCACCACCATGAAAACCCCCTCCAGGACAAAGTCCCCTGCATCTTGGTGGTTACCAGAGAAGACTTGCTCTACACCACTACTCCACAGTCCATTTATTCCACAAATGATAATTTGCTCAATCCGAGACCAGCTGGGCCAAAAAAAAATTAGGTTAAAGGCAAATGAAAGTAATAGAAGTTAAAAATCTAAATAACTCTGCTCATGGGTACCTAATGTCTTCAGATCATTTGCTTAGGCAGAACAGAACCTAAACTACTATGCTCATGAAATGTCTGCTCTACTTTTTAGAGTCTCTGGAGGATGAGCATCATTTGCATTTGTCAAGGGTTAGATAATTGTTATTTAAGTCAATGTTCTGAGCACAGTTGGAAGGAATTTTAGAAGCTTTATCTGGTCCAGCCCCCTTTTTAAATTTCTTTTTTTTTGCAAGGCAATTGGGGTCATCTCCCTGTGCCCAAGTGTCCACATCTGTAAAATGAAGGGGTTGAACCGGCTGACATCTAAGGTTATCTTCCTGCTCAAAATCTATGATCCTATAATTGGGTCCCAAGTCCCAAGTGATGATGTGTGTCAGTCTTTTCTCCAGTCTCTATGTGCTCACTGGATAGCCCTGGATTTGGTGACATTAAGATATGGGTTCAAATTCCATGCCGAAAAGTTTTAGTGGTGTCCTATTGAGCAAATTCAGGTAGCTAGGTGGGGAAGTAGAGTGCCCTCCCTGGACTCCGGAGGACCCGAGTTCAAATTCCACCTGCGACACTTACTACCTATGGGACCCTGGGCAAGTCGCTTAACCTCTGTTTGCCTTTATCTATTGAAGAAGACGCCAAATGGGGTCATGAAGAATTAGACTCGAATAATCGACTCAATAACAACTGAGCAAGTCACGCGGGGGCCTATGGGCTTTAGTTTCTGAAAAATGAGGCGAGCAGGAATAAAAGCTAAACGTTGTGAAATCGTAATGAGCAAGCCTGGCCCCAAAGAAGACATCTAAGAAGACGCCTCCACTCGCTGCTGCAGGGATGGCTTACCATGCGTGAGTATTACCAGACCTTTTCAATGTTGGTTAGGTTTTTTTCTTCTTTATTCTGAGAAATGGCTCCTTCAGAATAGATGGAGGAAGGATGGATGATTTAGGTAATGGCAAGTGATTGAAAACACAAGATTTCAATTAAAATGCATTTAAAAAAAACCCAAGTGAACCTCATGGTTAATTTTCATGAATTACCATGGCATTTTAGAGCTTGCAAGCGCTTTGCTCACACAACCGCCGGGTAACGCGGGTCACGCCAGGGGGGGTTATCTCAATCTAAAGAGAAGAGCTAGGTTCCCAAGACGGGGCTGATCCATCCCCAAGCATCCCCCCTAAATGAAAGTCAGGGCCGGGCGGGGGCGGGGAAGGGGGGTCGGCCCACGTGGGCGCCAGGGCCCTTTCCCGGGCGCGTGCCCGGCCTTCTGAGCCGCCTCCCCCCCTGCCCCCTCCCGACCGTACCCTGCCGCCCCCGTCTCTCACCTCGGAGGTTGTAGCGGGCTTGCAAGCCGAACACGGACACGGTGCCGGTGCCCGTGCGGTCCCCCTTCTTGCAGCCGTGCTGCAGGATGTACTCGATCTGCTCCAGGTACTGCTTCTCCCCGTGCGGTCCGGGCGGCGGGCTGGGGCTGGGGCTGGGGCAGGGGTCGAAGCTGGGGTCGGAGCCCGGGCTGGCGGCGGCGGCTGCAGCAGCATCCTGTGGCTCGGCTCTCGGCTCCGGGCCCAGCTGGCTGTGCAGCTCGGAGCCTGCGGCGGGCATGGCTGCAGCGCGGCGACAGAAGAGCGGGAGGAAAGCGCGGCCCCCTTGGCGCCTTTTTCACTTTAAATTTAGGCAACTCCTCTTCCTGCTGCAAAAAAAAAAAGGAATTTCCGTTCCCGAGAGACCCCGAGTTGGGCCCCCTGGCTGGGGCGTGTGTGCGGTGGTCGCCCAGGGAGGTAGAAGTTGCACGAGTATTTGCTTGCAGCCCTCTCCCCCTGTTCTCCCACGGCTCCCCACTACCCAGTCTTGGCATCTGTCTAGCAGAGGCGGCTCAGCCTGATGATTGACATTTGTGTGGCTTATTAGAGTGTGCAAAGCGATCGACTTAATGCCCTTCATTACGGAGCCTCCTCCCACCTTTCCCTGCCCTTACTTGTGGATCCAGTGACAGCGGCCTCCTGGCTGTTTCACTCACAATATATTCCATCTCTTGCTCGGGGCACTCCCTCTGGTGTTCCCCCGTGCCTGGAATACTCTCTTTTCCTCCACTCTGACCACTGACATTTCTGGCTCCCTTTAAGTCCCAAATTAATTCCTATCTTTTACAGGAAGCCTTCCCCAGTCCTTCTTAATTTCAGTGCCATGACTCTATTGATTATTTCGTATTTATCTAGTATCTGTCCCACTTGATTTGTATATGTTCGTTTGCATGGTTTCCTCCATTAGACTGTAAGCTCCACCAGGACCTGACAGCCTTTTGCCTTTTGCTGTGTCCCCAGCGCTTAGCCCTGGTGCCTGACGCTTTATAAATGTTCATTAATTGGTTGATAAACCTCACCCCAGCAGAATGTAAGCTCCTTGAGGGCAGGGACTATCTTTTGTCTCTTTCTGAATTCTCTGTGCTTAGCACAGCACCTGACACCTAATAGGGGTTTAATAAATATTCGTTGATTCGTTGATTGATAAACCATAAATAACTGTCCTCACCCGGGTATAATGTAAGCTCCTTTAAGGCAGGGCGATGATTGACTTGCATAGGCACTGAGAAAATTCTTGTTGAATTGACTTGAACCTTTCGCCCTTGGGGAGAGGTCTACTTCTCACACACCACTGGCCTTAGGATTTCGATTCAGTATATGGCTTGGCTTATAGACATTTGAGAGGCATTTCGTGGCAATGCAGAGCCCACGAAGCCAGGAAGACCTGGTTACAAATCCATGACAGATACTGGTTGTGTAACTTCGGGCCAATCACTTAACTGTCCGTGCTCTAGGCCGATTCTCCATGAGCCCATCTGTTGCACAGAAGGTGAGATCTACATTAATAGGAGTTTGCTCAATTTCTCATATACCAGTGAAATCGCAAGTCTGATCCCTGTCCCTGTATGCACATATCCAGAACTCATTCGGAGTTTTCCCCCCTACTCCCGACGCATACTACCTTTTAATGTGGCCATAATGGGAGACAAGCATCATGCCTGTGACTTTCCTGAAGTCTAACTTTTTTGGCTGTTCATTGAAACTCATGACTGTTGTTCAGTCATTTCAGTCATGTCTGACTCTTCATGACCCTAATTGGCATTTTCTTGGAGTGGTTTGCCATTTCCTTCTCCAGCTCATTTTACAGATGAGGAACTGAGGCAAACAAGGTTAAGTGACTTGCTTAGGGTCACACAGCTGGTATGAGGCTGAATTTGAACTCAGGTCTTCCTGACTCCAAGCTTCCAATAAGGAACAGGGGGAAAGCCCAGGAGTTAGATGAATAACAGTTTGTTCCTCTTAAGGATTTATGAGATCTTTGTAGTTCAGTAAACATCTGTAGCCAAAGGAACTTATAGTTAACAATAATTTCCCAATTTAGCAATAACATTTTTAAGTATCAGTATCCTGTAGAAGCTTTAGTGTGCCCTGCCATTTTGCATATCATACATATCTTTGTTCAGGAATCCCAAATTTCTTCCATCTGCAAAATTCTGAACTCCCACAAAAATTTCAAATAATAATAATATAAGTAATAAATTTTTTTGCTGTTAACAGAAGTTTTCTTGACTTCTAGGGAATCATCCTCTAGAAATTAGGAAACATTTTCTCATCAGTCCCTGGCTCCACTACTTGATTAACAAAAACCAGGAAAATATTCTTTTATACAGTCTGTTTTCAAATAAATCACTTTCTAAAAGACACTTCACAGAAGAGACAAAATTAAAAGATTAGGCATCAAAGAAGTTCTGTGAGTGTCCTTAAAGGCCTTTAGTTGAGGTCACTCATGTTCTTTTTCAGGTTGTACATTTGTATTAAGTCAAAAGCACCATAAGTACATGGGAAATCTTCATAGATAATGGAAAACTCAAGGTTTAAAAATCCATTTTGTTGCTTTTTGGCGTAAGATTTTAATAGGGAAATAGAAAAGAACTTGAAATTGTTTCTGTACACCCTGATCCCTTTGGTCAAACCATCCCTCAAAAGGGAGTTAGCCCAAGTTTTGAAGGCCTGGCTCATTTAGTCTGTCATAGTAAATTTCTTCCTATTCAGTATGGATATAAAATATGTACAATCTGTCACACAGGACAGGAAAGTGCACTTGAAACCTTAAAACACTACATAAATGAGTTGTTTGTTTTTAACATTAAGTTCAGGTGATTTTGTGGATTATCTGCTGTCTCAGATTCTCATGGCTCTACTAGGTAGGGTTTTTGAGGGTTGACTTTTTTTTATTTTATTAATTTATTTTGATATATCAGTAATCACTTCCATATGCTTTTGAGTTTAAAATTTTTCTCCCCCTTCCTCCCCACCACCCTCCCCAAGACAGCACACAATCTGATATAGGCTATACATTAACATTCCTATTAAACATATTTTCACATTAGTGATGTTGTAAGTAAAAATTAAAAACAACAGGAGGTACCATCAGAAAGAGGAAACAAAACTCAACAGAAGAGGAAAAAAAAAGTAGCAATTCAACTTCCATAGTTCTTTCTTTGGATGTGGATAGTATTTTTCATCACAAGGCCTCTGGAGATGTCATAGATCCTTATATTGCTGGGAAGGGTTAAGTTTATCAGTATTAGTCACGAGGGTTGACTTTAATAAGGCTAACTTTGGATTTTTTATGCCGTCTACATCCTACCACCCCAAACTCAGTGTTCCCTGACCTGTGCCCAGACTATGTCATACACCGATTTCCCCTCCATCTCCCTGAAATGCACTCTCTTCTCACTTTTACCTCTTATTATTCCTAGCTTCCTTCAAAGCTCAGATCAGGTGCTCCCAGGTCCCAGGTGTTCTGTTCACCCCAGTTTACTGACCACTCCCATTCAGATTTTAGACCCCTCCTCCAGTCATCCCAAACTACTTAGCCACTCCTAGATCCCTCCCACAGTCTTTCTGTATATAAGCTCCGTTTTTGTCTCCATTAAGGTGCTCAGGCTCTTTTAATCTACCCAAAGGCTTAGATGCCAATCTAGCTCCTTAAGAGTCTGCCCAATATGACGGATGTTCTAATAAACCTTGACTTTGGCTGAAAGAAGGCCTGGGTCTAATTCTTTTGAGCAAGATCCACATGTTGTGATATTGGGGTCCCAGCACCCCTAAACCTCAATATTGTGACTAACCTTCAATAAATAGAAGCCAAATGAAAACGGGCAAGTTTTAAGGGGTGGCTGAGAAGGGTTGCAGTAAGAGGAAAACATCAGTTTTCCTTTTGCTGTCCTACATTAGCTTTCTGAGATTCCTATTGTGTACCAAGCATTTGCCTTTTTCCTTTTATGTGACCTTCTCCCATCCACCCCCTTTGTTTTTCCTTGCCTTCTTTCTTACAGTCTCAGTCAAGAAGGCAGCACCACATGACCTGAGGTGGACCTAAAATCTGAAAGACCTGAATTCAAATCCTGCCCTGAGATACTTACTGGCTATGTGACCCTGAGCGAGTCACTCTCAGAAATCAGTTGTTTCCTCATCTGTAAAATGCAGGAGTTGGACTTGACTCCCTTCCAACTCTAAATGAATGAGTGCACGATTATACACATTTATTATTATATATAATTGTACATTATACATAAATGCTTATTCCTTTTCCCTCCCCCTTATACCTTGGAAATTGCTACACTCCAAAGCAGGGCTCAATTGATTGTTTTGTTGATTTTTTTGGATTTAAGAAAGTGATGGAGAAAATGTTAATAATACAGATTAAACACTGGTCCTGGAGTCAGGAGGACCTGAGTTCAAATGTGACTTCAGACACTTACCAGCTGTGTGACCCTGGGCAAGTCACTTAACCATGATTGCCTCCAAAAACCAAACAAAAATAATGCAGATTAAACTTAAAAGTGTGTCATGGACTCTTTTTTTCCCTAGAGAGCCACTTATAAAACATTTACCAGCACACCCCTGATTCAGACAAAAGGAATTCTTAAAATCAGAAGCAAGTATGTATGTGTATGAATAAACAGCCAGGAAATAAATACATGTTCAATTACATAAGCAGTTTTGGACATGGACATTAAGATTACCTCAGAACCAGTAGTCTGAAAGAGGTAAATGCATTCCTAAGCATAGGTCAAAGCTCACTATTTTGATATGCAGGTGAGGGCAAAAGTGATGCACAAATAAATTTTATATGGCCTTTTTCCCCCCTACTTGTTTTCAGCTTTATTTCAAAACATTTTTCTTCCAGTTCGAATCAGAGGACGTTTCCAGACCTCTGGTTTGCCCCTAAGTGATCAGATTTCCATCTTAACTTATTCTTGCCTTGTCCTAAAAAACATAGACAGAGGATGTGGTGAAGTCATAGAATTTTAGAGCTAGAAACAGTCCATCATTTCATAACAGAGGAAATGGAAGATCAAGGGAGGGGAAGCCAGAAACTCAAGTTTTCATGATGTTAAGATTATTAGATGAGGTTTGGAAATAGCACTTCCCAGTGGCCTTTTCTAATTTATCAGGCCATAAGTGCCTAGAAAAAAACCTGAGTCTCATCTAACCTTTATATCGTCTCCAAAATGTATAAGAAATATTTGCTGAATTTTATTCACACCAGGTCTGTAACAAGTGTTTTCCTCAATTAAATTGAATTGACTTACCTTCGGTTGCTAAGTGGCAGAGTCAGGACTATATTCAAGCACTCAATTTCCAGTAATCTTTCCATTTCATATCAAATATTAGATCCATCGTGAAAGTGCTCAAGTACCTCCCAGGGAGTAATTTAACGCTAGAAAAATCTACCTGAATGGGTCCTATACATTTGAGATGCAGCATGGAAGAATAAAAGAGCACCATACTTTATACAAAGGGTACACATACTTAGAAAAACCTAGAGAATCTGATTTTACCTTTTGCTTCCATTATAATTTTTAAAAGACTTTATCTTCCATTAGGAATGATTATCTTCAATTTTCAGTGACTCCAAACAATTGAACTTTCTAAGCTCTGTGTCTGTGGTCTAAGAGAGTAAACTAACACAGTCAACAAAGAGTTATTTAGAAGAGGAATTATTTTGTAAACGAAAAGAATCCCTTTTAATGCTAAGAATAGCCTTTTTTCCTTTAAATACTGCTTCCACCTTGGGCTCATCACTTTATCTCTTGTGCTTCAAGTTAATGATCTGTAAGATTATAAGATCACTGTAACAAATGGTTTGTGTTTACATTCATAAGATGTTGCAAGTATAGTCCAAGAAGAATTGATGGGGTACAGGTCTGAGCTGAGACCTTTGCCTCTCACCCCAAAACGATTTTGGGTCCCTTCTGTCTGTGGGATTCTTCTAGAACTGTCCTACTTGATCAAGGAAGTCTGTAGCATTCACTTGAAGCTATAATCTCATCAACCGGCCTTTCCTTCTTCCAATTCTTTATTACCCTAATTGAGCCCAGCCCTCCATCTCTATTAGCCCCAGTGGCCCCTAGGCTATTTACCATCTTTGATTCTATCTAAGATTCCTTTCAACAACTCCTAGTCACTCCCATCCAGATCCTCCCTAGACCCTCCTCCAGTAACCCCCACCTACTGGACACTCCCACCAAGGTACCCCTTCTTCCAGACTCCTCTTCCAGTCACCCCAAACTACTTGGCCTCTCCTAGATCCTTCCCATAATCTGGCTGCCATTTAGGGGCTGAGATTTCCTCATGTCTGCCTGCCGGTCTTTTTTCTTTAATTATTATTAATTTATTTTGATTTATCAACAATCATTCCCATATGCTTTTGAGTTTAAAATTTTTCTCCCCCATCCTTCCCACCACCCTCCCCAAGACGGCACACAATCTGATATATCGCCTGCCTGTCTTAAGCGTGTCACAAATGTTTAGATTCTTAAGAGTCTAGCCAATATGGATGATCTATAATAAACCTTGTCTTTGGCTGAAAGAAGAATTGGGTCAAATTCACTCAGGCAATACCCGAGTGTTGTGATTTTGAGGTCCCAGCACCCCTAAACCTCTAAACCTCAACAGAATGATTAGATGTCAACCAAAAGCAGCATGTGTTTTTCATTAAAATATTGCCATGTTAAAGGAAAATACTACAGTGTCAATGCATATTATAAATGTAAGACTGAAAAGAAGGAAAACCCCCAACATATTAGTAAAACAGACATTTCAGAGACTAGATCTTCATTTATTTAGTTTTTAAACAAAACCCACAAAATATAGAGCATCCATACACTAACTATACTTTTTTTTAACTTAAAGCATGTTTTGAACAGCTATTAAACTACAATAGAAAATTAATCAATTCTCAGTTTTTCATGGCATTCAAAACTAATATTTTACCACCATAAAATCACATATTTAGTGCATTCATCACATCTTTCTCATCTGTTTCACGATTCTGGGACCTCAGACGGAGGGGTATGTCTAGATCCCAGATGTCAGCTGTATCAGATCATCTCATCTTTAAAAAAAAAAGGCAATAATAATTGTCATTTTTGCAGAACACATAAAAAATCAAAACAGTGTTTATTATCTACATTGCTGTAGTTAGAATAGGATAGAAAGGATAAATATCCTTGTCAAGTTACAAATACTCCTCCAGTGTTTAGCATCATTTAGCTCAGGTGAGATCCTTTTCCCCTTTGGGGAAAGTATGAGAAATAGTTATAAAATAGCAATATAAGAACAGAGGCTTCTGGTGATAGCTTTTATAATTACAGCCTAGGGTGTAAGACAATAGCATAAGTGGCTTTAGTTGTTGAAAAATAAACAATTAAATATTATTAGTCATTAAATAAGCAGCAAACTAACATGTAAAAGTTCTATTTATTCCTATTTGATTAGATGCTTACTGCTCCCTGAGGTTTTCCTAGATCGCAGATGGGCCTTTCTCTCTAGTGGGAAAGCCAAATAGCTTTTTGGTGCTTTCCTTGCTCACAATTGATGAACAATAAACATTTATTATTTATGGTAATAAAAGATACATATCTATTAAGCTAGCACTTAATAGATGGGCACTTAATAGCACTTAATGTTCTAGGTATTCTAAATGATAATATTACAGAATCATAGATTTAGAGAGGGAAGAGGCATCAGAAGCCATTGATTCCAATCTATATATTATACGGATGAGGAAACTGAGGCCCAGAGAGGTTCTGGGACTTTCCCAGGATCATACAGCTACTAAGTGTGTGAGACAGGATTTGAACACAGGTCTTTCTGATTCCTAAGTACCACTTTATGGAAATGGCACTTAGGAATCAGAAAGACCTGTGTTCAAATCCTGTCTCACACACTTAGTAACTATATGTACATGGTACATGGAGGAGATAGATAAAGCATTTAAGTGCTTAATAGGGGCTAGGCCCTGTGCTAGGTGTACAAAATCCAGAAAACAAGATGGTCCTTATTCTCAAGAAACTTACATTCTAATAAAAGAGATGCTGAAAATTAGAGAAAACAGATTTCTCCCAGTAAGTCAAGCACTTTTTTTTCCCTAACGGTGGGATGGTGATATGGGATGGAGCTTCAAAATGGCCTGTTGTTCCTTATGAACATTTGGAGCAAACGAGGGAGGTAATATGATATAGTAGAAAGAAAAATTAATCTGGAATCTGGAGAACCTGACTTCAGTTAAATCTTTCAGGTTCTCAGTTTCATTCTCTGTAAATTAAGGGAGTTGGACTCTTTTATAATACTTAGAGCACATGATAACATAGCCAACATGTAAGTGTGTGTGTGTGTGTGTGTGATTAAGTTAGTCAAATCCTCCCACCCCTGGCATAGAGACTACCCAGAAATGGCATATGTAGTTTAATTATTCATTGAAGGCAGCGCATTAACTATGACCCCTCATAAACAGTAAGAAGACAAATCCTTCAGGATGGCGGTTACTGAACGAAGTTCCCTTCTAACGATCGCAGAAAACAACATTTAGACTCTGGTGATCACTGTTACAAAATAGTTCTGGTGGTCTAGAAACCTTCATGACAGTCTCCCCTTCAGGGAGGCTGTAGCTTATAGAATCTAGTCATGTAATAATACTGGCTATAATATTTTTTAAGGTTAATCCAGCTGTGTATCCCAAAATAATATCTTTCTAACAGTTAGCTTGTTTTTTCTCCCTATACTTATGTACCCCACTCCAAATCCCCTATATTCCCCAAACACTAAAAAATGGACAGCTCCAGGTGGTTACCAAAATCAGGGTTTAAGTATCCTACTCTTAGAATGGCACCTTGGAGCATGCCTTTTCAGCTGAATGAACCGTGTCTCTGTGCTTCCCCACACAGCAGTGTCCTTATGTGAGTTATTCTCCATGTTAGCATCAGGATTCCCACCCACGACCACTCCTCTTTTTACCCCTTTATTTTCTTACTATTAGGAGAACACCCTGTTTTCCAGAGCTGAGGCCCAGCAAGCAAGCTGTGCCCTGATCTTGGCGCAACAATCCTCTGGACTCACCCTCTGGATGAACTCTGCTGCAGCTAAATCCTAGAACTGGCTCGAGCCAATCCTAGGTAGTCCCTGAGCTCAGACAAGCGCCTGCACGATCCATGTTCTGGTCATCAAGCCCTGCTATGAGTAGACTTTTTCCACTAGGCAAACTTGTCTCTGTGTTGCTGTTACTCCCTCGTTGCAGTGGCTGCACCTCAGTGCTTGCCTCTATGTCTAGCCATGTCTACATGTAACAAGGCTTAGTCCTACTACTTTGGGTCTGCTGAGTCCTAGAGCAGACTCCGGCACCTGTGTCTAGTTTCCCACCTCCAGCCGAATAAAGAAGACCTTTTGCCTATTACCTCCATGATTTTTCAGAGTTTAACTGTATAACCTCTGTGGCTCTTTGGTCATTTATTTTCAGAGTTTGAGAATGGTGTATGTGATTAAGTTGTATATTGGGTCCCCTTCAACCTTTCTCCTTCCCTTTCTTTCCCATTACTGCCAATAAAGCTTTGCATTGAACTGACTCCCATTGTTTTACATGCTATTCTGTGCATCAGAACTCATTAAGGGGTTGTTTTTTCCAACATCTCTGGCTGGCCTACAGGCCTTCCTTTAAACATAAACCAGGTATTGGTCAAGGATTTAACCGGTTGGTAACTGCACTTATGTTAAGAGAGCCTGGTGCTATAAGCCCAGTCACAGAAAGCAAGGATTAACAGGGGAACCCTATGTTCTTCCGGAAGGGATTTATTTGTACCAGATTGGTTACAAATCAATCACGTGTCCAATTTAATTTGTTAAATAAAACTTAAAAATGAAATGTGCTTACATTTACATGAAGGTTCATTGTATTACCAAAGCAGAGAATTGTCACATCTCACTCTAATTGGGACATACATTTATTTAAAAGAGGATTTTGTATCTAACATCAAGAAATGCAGTCCATTCACTTTAACTGATGAAATCATCCTTAGATGGTATAGCATTTTGTTTCAATTTGTGGGAACTGAGAGGATGTGAATCTTTTACCTGGATGAGACTATTTATGCTTAAATTGTAAAATGCGGAATACATTGCATATTGGTGTGGTCTATTGCCCTTACTTCTCTATAGAGTTAAACACATTTCAAGAAAGTACCCTCAATGAGGCTGCATTGCTTACCAGGCTCAAAAATGTTGCTTGTAATGCTGTAAAGCTTTCCCAACGACATACTCAATGAAGTCAGAATTCTCCATGCTGACATCCTGGGGGACTTTGATGGTGAAAGTAGGTGAAGTTAGGATGCTCACTTCAAGCAGAGTGCCATTTGAATTAGCAGACTTTTCTTCACCAATTCTTGGAGCTACCTGGAGAAAATGTATTTACAATAAAGATTATTAGAGTTTTATACGTATTTAAGACTTAGTTGAATTACCAATTTTATGTCTCAATTTTAAAAGCCATTTTTACTAGAGAAAATAAATATTTCAATTAATCAAGCATTAATTATTGACCAAAACCACCAGTTGATCCAAATAGTATTGAAATAAAAATTACATACTACTATCTATACTTTCTTTGCTTTGTGGCTTAAAAAAAAAGCACTGTGTCAATCTTCTAGATTTTCTTAAATTCTAGACCTTTTGGTGTTAATGGGCTACTCATGTGCCATGCACTGCTAAGTACAGGGGATACAAAGACATAAGTAAAACTGTCCCTATGTCAAGAAGCTTACATTCTTTGATGATAGCCCATAGGACTTTGTTGTATTTTTTGGGGGGGGGTTTCCAATATTTTTATTCAGGAAGTACAACTATTAATAAAGCACAGCAGTGATTCCCAAAGAATTCACAAACATACACATACATATGTATTATATGCTATAACATACATTTCATATGTGTTATTTAGTTGTTGTTAAGTTTGTATCTGACTCTGTGACCCCATTTGGGGTTTTCTTGGCAAAGATACTGGAGTGGTTTGACTTTTCATTCTCCAGCTCATTTTATAGGTGAGGAAACTGAAGCAAACAGGGTTAAGTGACTTGCCCAGGGTCACACAGCTAGTAAGGATCTGAGATCAAATTTTAACTGGAAGATGAATCTTCCTGATTCTGAGCCCAGTGCTGTATCCACTGTGCCACCTATCTGCATCAATGTCTGTATGTATCTACCTATCCATTTCTCTCTCTGCATATGTATATGTATGCATACATATATGTATGTATACATATTTTTATTTGAATAAAAAATAAATTGTACCAATGCATAGTTTGACTTGAACTTTAGAAAAATATTTTTTAAAATCTTTTTCAGTAAATTCCTAAATGTTTGTCAAGCAAAAGAATAGACCAAATGAAAATCTCAGCATTCTGCTAATTCCCATTTACAAAAGTGTAGTTAGCATTGCTTATTTTACCTATTGGTATTTGTATGTTTTTCCAGATAAAGTCTATTGAGTTTTCACTGTATGCAAATATGGAGCTATACATGTATGTAATGAAATTACAGCCTTTTTTTTGTGTGTGTAAAGCAAAGAAGAATCAAAAATAAACATACTAACAACCCCCTGCCCCCCAAAAAAACCCCAACTCAAACCCACAATCTTTAATGAGACCTAACATTTATATATATACTTTAAGATTTCTTAGAGCAAAGATACATAACCTCATTGGGCCCTCAAAACAACCCTATTGGTAGGTGCTATTATCATTGCCATTGTATAGATGGTGATACTGAGGCTGAGGAAGGTTATGTCACTTGCTGACCTAGCTGGTTAAGTCCCTGAGGCAGTATCTGAACACAGGTCTTCCTAACTCCAAGTCCAGTACTTTATTCACTATACCATTTTGCACCTTTCATGTAAAGATAAGTATATGAATTTGCCTAATTCTTGAACCAAGGGGGAAGAGGGGCATTTTATCTATTTATGTCAGTTGTACCAGGCTGTGATAAGGCTGTCAATAACTTATCTCTTATCCTAAAAGGATATAAGTAAGAATGGTTTGATCCTATCAGTGAAGTATACAAGGCACTGAATCTATTTTTTTTAACTGACAATAATATTTCATATATGCATAGCATTTCACAGTTTTGGAAGTATTTTTCTTTTTTTTAAATAATATTTTATTTTTCCAATCACATGTAAAGACAATTTTTAACATTTTTAATAAGATTTGTCTCTGTCCCTCTTTCCCCTCCCCCCTCTCTGAGAGGGTAAGCAATTTGATATAGGTAATATATGTGCAAACATGTAAAACATATTTCCATATTAGTCATGTTGCGAAGGAAAAAACAAAACAAAAGGGGAAAAAAGGGAAAAAAAGTAAAAGAGTATTCTTTGATCTACATTCAGATTCCATCAGTTCTTTCTCTGGATGTGGATAGCATTTTGGAAGCATTTTTCACAAACATTTGATTTTTTTTTAAGGTTCTATGTTTTTGAAAAACCTCAAATTGCACCAGATTAAATGTCCCATGCTGGGTGCTAGCACAGTGGCAATATACACATATAATCAACTTGTCATTTCCTCGGAGGGGAATGAATTCTTTTTTAGATTGATGCATCACCTTTATAATATTGAAGATATTTTCTGATCCTCTGGTCCAGTGAGAGAGTTCAGTCACCCATGCAAACTTCTCCCTCATCTTCCCCATCATGGCTATCATGTCTTCCATGTGATGCTGGGTCATCTGGAAAATCTGGGTATATTGCTGCTCAGAAATGTTAACCAGTTTAAAGGCTTCATCAAACTTCATGTGCAGCTCAGGGACATCAGGGCAGTCTGAGGAAGAAGAAAAAAACTTGGCCGCAAAATATTCCTGGATCTCCCTTTTCTTGACCATTCAGGGATCCCATAGACTTCTGTGGTTGATTCTGTTGCAGAGCACCCTGGAGTCTGAGGCCTCCCCATTCCATATGACTGGGCAAAGACTGCAACTAGTCAAAGAATCTGTTTATTTTTATGATGCACATTATTATAGCTAGGGTGAGCCGTACTGTATGAAATACCAACTCCCATCTGATAGTTATCGCCTATGAAGACTTATTTTCACTGATTGTCTGAAATATAGGTGAACCTATCCTCAGTCAAACTGTCTTCTTCAATCTTTAGCCATTTTTAGACATAGTCCAGACAGAACAATTCAACTCAACAACCATCAATTACATACTCTTCAAGAGTACTGTCCTAGGCATTGGTAGAAATACCAAGATGAATGAAAAGAGCTACACACAGTTTTTAAAAAAAAAAACCCTTTAGATTTGGAAAGGACCTCAGTCTCTGTCTAATCCAAACCATACAAGAAAGGAATTCCCACTATCACATACCTAGCATGTATCAAAGAGGTTAGATTTCTATATTCCCTTTGGCCCAGAAATCTAATACCAGACAGGCATGTGTCCCAAAGATGCCAAAGACAGAATGAAAAGTCTAATATTTACCATAATATTCATAGCAGTACTTTTGTAGTAACAATGAAGTGGGAATAAGGTAGGTATACATTGATAAGGAAATAGCTTCACAAATTGGGATACATTAGTAGAGTGTCACTGCCCATTAAAATATAGCAAATATGAAATATTCAGAGAAAGATGGATAGATTTATATGAACTGATCCAGTCTCCTGGCCAAGGCAAATCCTTCTACAGGCACTTTTCATCCCACTTCATTCTGTCCTTTCCAGGATATTGACCCCTCTATTATTCCCTACTTACTCACTAATCTTCCGTCTTTCCCTGTATACTGTCTGCTTCTCTGCTGTCTACAAATACATCCGTTTCTCCCATTTTGAAAAATTTTGAAACTTTTCACTTGATCTGCCCATCACCAATAGCTGTTGTCCTATATCTCTCTTACCTTTTTGTGGCTAAACTCAGAAAGCCATCTATAATTAGATGCAATCTGGCTTACTCCAAGAGTCCTGCTCTCTTGATACCATACTGCCTTGCAAGCACTTGAGCCAACGAAACATTAAACAAAAGGCAGGTTTTATTACAGGCAGGGCTAACAAAGGGGGAAAAAAAACTCAATAGAAGTAGCCTCCTGATGACAGATCTCTCTTCTCCAGATTTCCCGGCCAAGAACTCAGTTTAGCGTTTCATCACAGTGAGCTTGAGAACTCAGTGAAGGAGCAGCATTTTCTGAATACTTGCATTTTCCCCTCTGTTGCTACCATGGCACTGGGTAGTCCAAGTCCTTCTCTGCAGTGTCATCACTTTCAGTGTGCAAGTTTGCATACTTTTCAGGCTATTCAGCTATAGTCCCTGCCCTTCTCAGTCCTTTTATACCTCTGGTAGACTAGCAATACGGTCATTGCTGACTCTATATACCTCCCCTCTTCCTTACCCCTAAATCCATTGATACATAGAGCATGGAACAAGCCATTTGATAAGGGAAAAACCCATCCCTGCTCAGCACACATATGCAGTGGGCCCCTCCCCATCCCACACAAGAATGATCACTTCAGTGAGCCACTCAGCTCCCTTCAAAGCCACCTGAACCAACAGTGCAATTACTTTAAAATTAAATGATTAAGTAAACATTAAATGAACTAAAATTTGCAGTTATATCCTCACATGATCCTCCAAGCTATATTTACCCAATGCATAAGTGGATATACCTAGAAGCTGAAAGAATTCTTGAAGGCTATGGTAACATCGCATTTCAACAGATTGAAAGAATTACAGCATCATCCCCATCATGCCTTATTCTACTTGGACAATTTATCCAATGGGGAGAATTGCTTTATTTATTTTTCAATTGCATTATAATTTTTTTTTATTAAACAATGCTTTTAATGCATTATTTTTTTCTTAGTAAGTAGTAATAATTTACTCTAATTAGCAGATATAATTAGTATTCTTTTCTGTTGGGGACATTAGCCTGTATTTAGTCTTTCATCATGAGCTTTGAGAAATCCAAGACAATGGAAAGGCAAACCAAAATAATTGGCAGTAACAGGCTTTGAAATCTAGATTAAGCATACTCAAATGGCAAAATGTGGAAATATATGGAAAGGAAAACAATTTGTGAATTAAAAGGACTTGTAAAGGAAGTCTTTGGGCCTCTAAAAAGAGCACATACCATATTTCATTTTGTACTGGGAATCTGTTATGTACGTATCTTATCTCCCTTAGGAGAGTAGAAACCTGTTGAGGGGAAAGATTATCTCTTATTCATCTGTATACCTCTCCCACCTAGCCTGGAACCTTGTACACTGAAGATGCTTTAAAAACAATAATAATAACAACAATAAAATACAAGCTCTGAAACCTATTTATTAAATCAATGTGCATTGAAACAAATAAGAAAACATTAATTTACCTTGCAAGAGGTTTTCTTGGCATTTTTGACATCTTTCTTGAAATTCAGAACATCCAGACAAATTCTGGCTAAGCTCTTTACATGGTACTCTGTTGTGTCCAGGGAAAACCTCCAAAAACATTCCTGCTTTGTCAGGCTCTAGGGAAAAAGAAATTACTGATACATTGATTTCACTTCGGTTTTAGTTCTAGTGAATACAAATGTAATTTTTAAAAATATACTTTTGATAAGAAAAAAGTTATTTTATTCAAAGGATATGAGTAGAAGTCAAAGACTGAGAAAAGACATAAAGCATATACATATATTCATACACATATAACATGTAATACATACATACAATATAATACTACTATATGCACATGCATGTAACACAATATAGACAATAACCTATGTACACAATGTAATGAACATGCATGTATTTGTATATATGTGCATACATATGTGCACATATTTGCAGATATGTGTTGATATGTGTATGTATATGTGTGAAAGAGAAGAGAGTGAGAAAGCAGTATTTCTGGAAGAGATTTAAAGCTATATCAGTTATCTTTCATTTAAAAGGGAGATCAAATAAAAAAGTGAATAATAAACTACGTAAGTCAAGTCCTACAACGTATTAGAGTATTTTAGTACATTAGAAATTTGGACATACAATGGAATGCTTATTTCTAGTTCAGGGACATAATTTTCCTAGAATCTTTCATGTTACACCAGTACAAAGTCATGTCCACAAGGTGCTTATTAACTATTTTAACTGTTTTACATGCTGCTGCTTAGGCATAATTCCTGATGGGTGGAGGGAATGCCCTCTTGATGTCAGCCTGTGTGAGAGGTGGAGTTGGTAGGGGAATGTTGGAGAGGAAAGACACGTTCTTTATTCCAGCTTCAAGAAAGAGACACATGGTTCCAGACACTCTTTGGAGAAAAATATGTGTAGAGAGATGAAAGACTTTGGGAAGCAGCAGACCAAGAAAGGAGCCAGAACCTCACTATTTCTCTAAATCTCAGCTTGCCTCCCTAGAGACTTTCGGGAAATCCCCCTCAGGTGAAATGTGGGGAGGGGGAGAGGAAGAAGCTTTTCTCTTTCTTGGTTAAATGAAATCTCAGCTGGCTCCCATAATCAACTGGCTCCTTTCCTATGTATTTCTGGTATATTCTAATCTATCTAACTTCTCTGATTTCTGTATGCTATCAGCTTGAATAAAAGATTTTGCTCACAATTCAGTATTTGTGATGGTCTTTTGTATAACTAGCATTTACAGACCAATGAGTGTAAGCCTAGGGTTACCCCTTCCTCTTTAAGGGGCGGTGCCCAGAAAAGTGACTTGAACCTAAAAAAAATTCCCTTAGACAAACAATATATAGGGGGATAGATGGATATAATTCTAGTTCAGTACCCCCTCCAACTTTGTAGTCCCTTCTCCTATTCCCCTCCAGGAAAAAATAAAATTCCCTTGGAGAGGGTGGGCGAGTTCAGAGATATATATCCATACTTCATCATGATATGCATTTAGGTTACCCATATGGGCACATACATAAAGCACATAGGCAACGTATGCCCTACACTAGTATGAGGGTTAAGGACTAGACTAATGATTTCATTTGCATAGGGGACTCTGAGTTGAGTGAACTCATTCTACCGATACTTGCAAATAATAACAATAGCTATAATAATAGCTAACATTTATATAATGCCTACTACATTCCAGACACTGTGCTAAGTGCTTTGCATATATCATCTGATTTGATGCTCATGACAACCCTGGGAGGTACAAACGAGGTATTAATGGGGAAACTGAGGCAAACAGAGGTGAAATGATTTGCCCAGGGTCACAGAGCCAGTATGTGTCAGAGGTGGCACTTTTTAATTCAGGCTGTCCTGGTTCCAGGGCTGCCACTCTAATAACTATTAACCAATTATCATCATTATCATCCTCTTCCTCCTTCTCCTCCATGCTTGGAATACACTCTCCTCACCTCTGCCTCAGTCCCTTTCTTCCTTTAAGATGTAGCTCAAGTGCCATCTTTTCTAAGAAGCATTTCTTCATCTCCTAACTACCAGTATCCTCTCTCCCAAACTACTTTGCATTGAACCATTTTGTATTTATTTGTGTTCTTTTTATACGTATCCTGTATATACTTAGAGAAGTACTTGTCATCTCCTCCATTAGACTGCAAGCTCTTTATAAATAGGGACTGGTTCATTCGTTGTATTCTTATCCCCAGTGCCTAGCACGGTCCCCGACATAGGTAGGCACCTAATAAATACCTGTTGACTGATTGATAACAAAATGATATCTTTATTAAGCTTTCCTAGTATCTCTTCTCTCCTTGTCCCAAGGAACCTTATTAGCCATCAGACACTATCGTTGGATTGCCATTACAAATAAAGGCTGGCAAAATCTTGTAATACCAGGTTCTTTAGGCAGGTTTCCCAAGGGCTGTAGACCAATATGACTTGCTCCCTTTCCCAATTGGAAAAGTGCCAGTAAATCCCACACCCATATACAAATGCCTGTTTGCTCTCTGAGGTAGCCTTAGCGTTCTTGGCATCTGGTTTGCAGCAACCTTCCAAATAGCTCTGCACTTACTTTACTTCCCTTGGGAGAAAAGATCCATGGTGAGGAATGAGGATGCCATTTAGTGATCTACATATTTCCTGGCTAGGACCACTTGTATGTCAAAAGGTTGAGAGGAGCTTAGACTGATGTGAGTTTTTTCCCTTGAATTTTATCCTGAAAATTGAAGTTTCAGTCCATTTGCAGCAAGGAAAAAGTGGAGGGCAGGGTCTTCAATGGATGTGGTGAATTGGAAGAGAGCCATGGAAAGCTAAGAAGGCAGATATTGACATTTTTCCTCATTTCAGAGCATTGGAATATACAAAGTTGTCCTGCACTAGGAGGAATGATGGTGTAAACCAGGAAAGAGTGCTAGCTTGTATCCAGAAACCTACCTATGTGATGTTAAGCAAATTATTTAATTTTTCTGGGCCTCAGCTTTTTTTTCTGTAAAGTAAAGGGGCTGGATTAGAGGATCTCTGACATTCCCTTCTAGCTCTGAATCTATCATCCTATCACCTGGATTTAATCCCCCCCTCCCCCATCAACATCTACTGTCTCTGTGTGACTTTGGTCAGGCCACACTTCTCATTGGGGCATCTTAGTTTTCTCTCTTTCTCTCTCTCTTCTTTCCTTTCTTTGTCTTTTTCATCCTTTCCTTCTTCCCTCCTTCTCTCCCTCTCTCCCTCCTTCTTTCCACTTCCTTCCTCCCTCCCTTTCTCTTTCTTTCTTACTTTGAGGATGTCTACTTATCTATCATACTACCCTGTCTTTGTTGTTATTTTATATGCATTATATTCATCAATACATTTATATACCATATATAAATATGTAAATATGTAAATATATAGTAAGATATCTCAATTATATAATATATATAAAGCACTTTCTAACAGTAAATCACTTTATAAGTATGACTTATCATTATGTAATTGCAAGGATGATGTATTATTTGAAACATTTAAATTCATCTACATATCAAAGAAACTTGATGTCCAGTAAAATTATTGGAATAAATTTCTTCCCTCCCCCCCAAACTCCCCTACCCTGTAGTGGCCCTGGTGGTGAATTATTTTGCCTAGGACCCTGTCTCTGCTATTGAACATATGGAGAATGTTCAGAAATGATTGCCAGATTAAAGGTGCATCCTACTAGAAAAAGCCATTGGTCATTGAATCTAACTGTTTTTCCAGGTATGGAGTTTGTCTAGCTGGCTGATTTCTGCCTATATAGCAAAGGTACAGGAGAGAAATCCAGCACAGTTTCTGACTCTTACATAAAACAAGTCACTCCCAGGGAGGTGCCAGTCATTCAGAGTCCTAGCTAGCTGGTGCAAGAGCTTGCTTTCCATTTTGCCAGCTGCAGCTATTTCAGTCAGTTGTCAGCCAGCAAAAAATCCACTCCTCTCACCTTTCTTCTGGGAAAGAACCCAGCAAGAAACAAGTTCAAGAATGCACAGGTACTTACTCCAGGTGTTGACCATGTAGCAACACCTGTTTTTGAAAATTTTTGCTATCTAAACACCACAGAGAAATTCTGAGAAAGTCTTTTTCTCTCTTTTTTCAAGCTGAACTATGGAAGATAAACCCAGAATAAATTCTTATCTCCCGACTTAAAGAAATAAGGTTTTCTTTTTCATTATGGAGAAATAACTGTTATCTGTAGAAAGCAATATTTTTTTTCCTTGTCTGGCTCATTCAATTTGGGCCACATCTAAAAGAATCTTATCCCACAATTCTTTGCATGAGCTTTCATAGCTTAAAGAATTATAGCATTATAGCATTTTAGAATGAGAAGGGAGCTTAGAGATCAGACAGTCACTCCGTCATATGGGCTTAGATCTGTAAGAGACCTCAGAAGCCATCTCTCTAGACCAACATGTTCTTATTACAAAGAACCCTTTCTACAATTTACATGATAAGGAGTCATGCAGCTTTTGCTTGAAGATTTCCGATGAGAGAACCCCATGACCTCTTGGGACAGCCCATTCTACCTTGAGATAGCTCTCATTCTTGTGAACTTTTTCCTTGCATTGAGCTAAAGTGTGTCTTTCTGTAACTTCCAAATACTGGTTCTAGTTTTGTCCTCTGGGACCAAAGAGAGCAATTCTAATTTATCTGTCATGTGACAGTCATTCCACCTTTCCAAAACTTGAAGGCAGTTGTGCACATCACTAAAGGTACATCATTACTCTTTGGTTTGAGCCATTCAACCAGTCCCAAATCTCTCTTAATGTAGTATTGTCTAACCTACATCTCTCCATCTTGTGCACAAGAAAAACATGAGAGACTTTGTAAAATACTTTACTAAAATATTGATAAACATCATGTATAACATCCCCCTGATGTGGAAGTCTAGTAACCCCGTAAAAAAACGGTCCAGGATGAACTGCCCTTGATTTAGCCCACACCAGCACTTTGTGATTGCTGTTTCTTTTTCTATATGCTCACTGACCATCCCTTTGATAATACATTTTAGAATTGTGCCAGGAATCAAAGCTTATAGCTTTCAGACTCTGTTCTTTCCTTTTTCAAAAATTTAGATATCTTCCTTTCCCCCAGACCTTCTGCATTTCTCACATCCTCAATGACCTTTCAAAGATCACTGACAATGTTCTAGTGATTGACATGTTGTCAAATTTCAGTAAGTGCCAAACTTCTCATTTTAAAGATGAGAAAACTGAGCCTTAAGAGATGATACTCTTTTCCCAGAGTCACATTGGTAGTGAATGGTGGAGGAAAGATTTAAACTCAAGTTATGGATTCAAACTCCAAATTTCTTCTGTGGCTCACTGTCCTTCCTGCATTATGACTCAGAGAAAATAGGGTAAGGCATTGAGTTCTACCTGCATATAAAGCTAGATGAATATGTCTTAAACTCGGCACTGAGTCTCAAATAGTGTCTAGAGAAAGTCATAAAGAATAGAATTGTGTGAGTGAAGTATGGAGAAGGAGAACTATTAACAATGGCCACAATGATTAAAATGATGAGAACAATAAAGCAAAACTGAATGCTGTGTGATCATAATTACTAAGCTTGGCCCCAGAGAAGGAAAGATACACCTCCTTCACTTAATTAGAGAGGTTGGGAACTGTGGTTGGTGTATTGGTTATCTTTGACAAATTCTTTTTTTTCTTTTTCAGTCTTTGTTACAAGGAAAGGTTCACCAAGTGGGAGATGGGGATGAGAGGGACATATTCTGAGATGAACAAGATGCAAAAACAAAAGACATAATTTTAAACAGAAGAATAGAACTGTGGGGCTCTGTGCAGTTCTTTGGTGTGGGAAACTAAATACAGGTTATATAAATATAAAGAGTAGGCAGCTACATGGCACAATGGATAAAGCCCTGAGCCTGAAGTCAGGGAGACATTTTAGGATGATCAGATTGGGCAGCTGTGTGGAGGATAGATTGAAAAGATGGGATGCTGGATACACAAAGACCAATTAGTCATTAGGATACAATTAGTCACCAGATGCCAATGCTGAGAAAGGACTCTATTTTTGGTGGTATATTGTAATTCAGGTTGGTATAGACTATTATACTGATATTTTCATTAATAACATTTACTTAAAAATTCAGTGTAAAGTGCTGGGATTGGAGCAGGATACACACCTTACTGAATTATTCCCTTCTGGGACCTTCCCAAAGACAAAGAAGGACAGCAGAGTTTAATTTTGGGCTATCCCCTTAGTTGGGGCAGCTAGGTGACACAGTGGCTAGAGTGCTCTGGCCTGGAATCAGGAAGACTGGAGTTCAAATTCTATCTGAGACACTTACTAGCTGTGTGACCTTGGGCAAGTCACTTAGTCTTGTCTGCCTCAGTTCCTTATCTGTAAAATGAGCTGGAGAAGGAAATAGCAAATCACTCTAGTATCTTTACCAAGAAAACCCCAAATGAGGTCATGAAGAGTTGGACATGACTGAAGGATAACAAAAATATAAAAAGTACACCAATCTCTTCCATCTTCTATCTAAACACTTTCTTTCCATCAACTTTTACCCACACTGATGATTTTTTTCCAAATGAGGAGGTACACTGGTATTTAATTTCAAACTGGTGGTTGATGTGTAAGGAAGACAAACTTTGTGACATGGCAAGGAAATTTGTGAAATGAATGGGTTAGAGTGGATTAAATTAACTTGTATAGAAAGTGTGAGTTTGTTCTTTTATCAGCATGTTCATTCTCAGCTGAGTATATTCATAGCAACCTGTTTCCCAAGTGGCATGAAGTACATATCAGTCTATAAGCAGGGGCACGGGCCTTCAGCTCACATCCTGTCAGGGTGAAGTGTCTTGTCATTTAAGGAATGACTACTTATGATTTACCTACTTCATTCAGAAGATGGACCCAAGTGAATAAACTGGGGGAAAAATCCATGTAAAAAACTTGGAAACATTGCTTAACCACAGAGTGACACTTCAGTAACAATAAATAAGGAGGCAGTGAGGTATTAGAAAGAGTGCTACATTTGGAATCAAAGGATCTGGGTTTGGTTTCTGGTTCTGCCACTTACAGCCTTGTAGTAACCTTGAGTAAATCATTTCATTTCTCTGGGCCTCACTTTCCTCAGCTATAAAATTAAGGTGTTAGACTAGATGACCTCTAAGGACCATTTAAGCTCTAAATCTGTGATCCTATCATCTCACGAACTACTGAAAACTAACATTTACTATTCTACCCCAGACTAGATATTGGTAAAGATGTTGGCATCAAATTCCTTTTTATAATACTTGCCTTTCACTTGTTCTGGTAAATTCTTCATTCCTTTTAGCATTTCAGTAATCGTTTCACCAATACCTGTCAAAATTGATTTGCTGAAATCAAAAAATAGCTGAAAGAAATTGGGTATGTCCCAGCTTTTCAGAAGACTTGTGTTTTGGGGGGTTGTCTCTGATAAAGCTGGAAGTAAGTAGGCCTCTGTTAAGTCTGTGTCTGAGATGAAGTATGTTTGGAAAGCCTGGTCAAATTCTTTCTGTATCTGTTTGAAGACATCGGTGCTCCTGTCGAATAGTGTGTTCACATCCATGGTCAGTTGGTTGAATGTGCCCTCCATTTGGGATAGCTGAGTATCCTCCTCATCCAACTTTTCAGTGACAGGAAGAGCTTTTGCTTCATCCTCATGAAAAGGAAAAATTAATTGAGGCATTTTCTTGAAAAAGCTTTCAATCTGTAGGGGAATAGAAATAAATTCAAGTTCTTACCTTACATCTAGGACCTTTCTATCAGCAAATTTAAAATTCCCAACTTGCTGGCATATAGGAGGCACTTAATAAATGATAGCTGAGTTGAATTCCTGGGTACCTTAGAAATAATCAGTGCATTTTTAATAATGTACTAATCATTCGTTTCAGTTCCGTTAAGTGCTTACTGAAGCAGGTAGGTGGCACAGTGGATAGAGTGCCGGGCCTAAAGTTGGAAGACCTGAATTCAAATCCAGCCTCAGACACTTCCTAGCTGTGTGACCCTGAGCAAGTCACTTCACCCTATTTGCCTCAGTTTCCTCACCTGTAAAATGAGCTGGAGAAGGAAATGGCAAACCACTCTAGTATCTTTGCAGAGAAAACCCCAAAAGGTGTCACAAAGAGTGAGACACAACTGAAAATGGCTAAATGACAACCACAAAAATATTCTGGGTTGAATTAAATTCCTGTAAAGTTCTGATCTGAGAATCTTGGTCATGCACAATTGGCTCAAGTTTAATGACATTACTAAGGAACCAAAATTTGAGGAATGGAATTTGGAATCCTAAGAATACCAGAAGATGCATAAGGTAGTATCCAGAGAAGATTTTTGGGAAAAAAATATGAATAAGCTAAGATTGCCTAAAGTCCTTTTCTTTAGCTTCTCTTAGTTGCATGTTCTCAACCTTCAGTCCTTTCTGAATACTTTCTCCTTTGCCTTAACCTATAAAAATGAGCTCTTGGGAAAGGATCAGGTAAAGTATTCACTCTGAGATGTATATGATTTGTAGGGACGGCTTGGTATGTTACTTCTACCAAGAGTATTTATATTTTTTGAAAATCAAAGCCAGTGTTTAGTTTAAGCCAAATTCTAATCACTGGATTTCACATATTAAAAAGTTAGCAAGGGAGGTATTTTGAGAGGCAAAGGAGTCTTCCTGGGTGACTCTGAAAGCAGACAACATGTATACCTCCTATTTTACTTCCATATGTAAATATCCATATACCTAAGCCAGAACTTTGGCTGACTTGGGACTATTCAACAGGGTTACAATTAGCTTTATGACTGGCTGCCTTGACCACCCGCTACCCTTTGCATTGCATTGCAGCATCTCTCTATTATATCTGACAACCCTTCATCTCCCTCTTCACATTCCAGCTCCCACCTTATCTATAGAGAAACCCTATGACTTTATTTAAAAACAACCACAAGTAACAAGCAATAAAAATAAATTTAAGTTAGGCCTCCACACCAAAGAAGAGTATTTCACACTGAAAACCACCTTTGTATGAAGGATGTATTTTACCCATATCTTTGTTTTCTGAGCATTAATTGTCTAAGAATAGAAAACCATGGTTACCTTCATTCTTGGTTAGGTATTGCTAACAGCAAAGCAAAATAGGGAATTTAAGCAAAATTCAAATCATTCATTTCCCTTTGACCATTTAAAAAAATGTCTGCTACCTAAAAGGCACTGTGCTAGGTGTTAGTGATAAAATGACCAAAATGAAATAAAGTTCCTGTCCTCAAAGAGCTTATGAACTGGGGAAACAACATGTATACATATGAGTAAACATAAGAATAAATGTAAGATAGATATAAAAGAATTTTGGAGGCAGGCATTAGCAGCTGGGGGGATAATCAAGAAAGACCTCACTGTATGAGGTGGCCTGTGAGTTCATCTTTGAAGAAATCTAGAGTTTCTAAGAGGCAGAGTTGTGGAGGGAATAAATTCTAGGAATTCCATGGTAAAATGAGTCAGCTGGCTAACGTCCTTTCAGCACAGAAGTAGATCATGCCCATGTTGCTACACCATTAGACTAGGCCTAGACATGTTTATTTAACAGCTGCTGTTTCAATTATAAAAAGATTTGGGGCAGAGCATAGCAAGCTGTCAAATATTGGGGAGCTCAGACTATCCACAGGGATCTTTCTTCAGTTCCTGACTCTCACAAAGGAGTTATGTTTTATATCCTTTTAATTCTTTTATCATCTTTATTTATAGTACTTATTTTATCACAAGGAAAATATATATAATATTTATCGTAATATAATATTTGCTTTATTTATGGTATTTAATTATTTTTCAATTATTAAAAGTTTTGATTGGAAAAAAAGGTTCTCAGAATAACAAAAAAAACAAGTAACAAATAAAAATTAGTCTTAGGAAGAAAAGAGTAAACACAATTACCATTGACCATTTGTCAAGCTCAACAAATACAACTTAGTATGTAAAAATACTTTTGTCTGTATATTGAGAGCAGTTATTTAAAATGAAAAGAAAAACTTTGTATACTTTGTCTTATAATCTATTAGGTTTGAACCAACACTTGGCCAGACTATTTTTAATTATGTTGATAACCTTTTGTAGTGTTTTATAGAATCAAAGAATGTTTGATTTGGAAGTAACTGAAGGAATCATCTTATCCAATCCACATATTTTGCAGAAGGGAAACAGAAGTTGAGGGGTTGAGTGATTTGTCCTGAATCACACCGCTAATCAGTTAACAGTAAGACCTGTACTCTTCACAGCACGCTCCGGGGGCAGCACTGGCCCTGGAGTCAGGACTGACCTGAGTTTAAATCCAGCCTCAGACACCTGATGCTTACTAGCTGTGTGACCCTGGGCAAGTCATTTAACCCCATTGCCTAGCAAACAAAAACGCAGCACACTATGGATGGATTAGAGATTGGAGGCAATCACAAAAACCCAGCAGATTTAGTTTAGGGGAGAGCCAAGCAAATTTAGCTTCTTATTTATCCTGGGGATTACTTTCTATTTAATTGGGTATGGCACTGGCAAACAAGAAGGTGTTCTGATTTTCCTTAGCATTGTCCAATACTGGCATGAAATCTTAATCATCAAGCTCATGTCTCAACAATGTTGTTCATCCTTCATTTTTTGAAGAGGACCAATGATATCACCAATGATGTCTTAGATATCACCAATGATGTCTTGACTTGTGTATGAATTGGATTTAAGTGAGTCAGAGTTGCAAAGTCTTACAGGAAGGGGAAGAAATTCAGGACAATAAGACAGGCATCTCTAATATGGAGACTGCCCCAGTGTAGATGGATCCACTAAAGTCCTTCTCTGATGCTTCATGATGATTCTGAAGTCACCATGGGCACTTTAAGTCTATGCCAGCAAAAAGTAAGCTGTGGCAGGTTCTCCCAAGCTGGAAAGATTTTTGTACATGCCTGGTGAAAGATCACAGTCTTCCAACTGAGAACCTAGCTAAATTTGGAGGCTTCCAGCAATGGCAACGTATAAACAAAGTTTGCTAAAAAGTAGAAGTGGGGCAGCTAGATGGCACAGTGGATAGAGCACCGGCCCTGAAGTCAGGAGGACCTGAGTTCAAATCCGGCCTCAGATGAAACACTTGACACTTAGCTGTGTGACCCTGGGCAAGTCACTTAACCCCAACTGCCTAAAAAAAAAATTTAAAAAGAGTAGAAGGGTTGCTATCGGCATTGAGGGAGGAAGTGCCCAAACTTACAGCTCCCTGAAATATTGAAGAAGTATGCAAGTAACCTCTCCATTTGTGCTTCTTGACCAGGAACCCCAATATTTAGATAATATTACCATGAACTGAGTCAATTTTATACATGTGAGAATAGGTGAGGTAAGAGTGCAAAGGAGACTCTCCACTCCAAGAGGAAAAATGAAGGAATGAATGAAACGTCATTACTGTTTTCTAGCAATAATATTATAGCATTGTATAGATTTTGAAGAATTGTAAACTATTTAAGTATAAATACATTGAACCATTGGCACAAAAAATTGACAATATGCTCTGTCCTCTGTTTAAGATATTTCAATGGCTCTGGATCTAACTGGCATTGGTAGTGTCTCCATTGGTACAAATGTACTCTTACCCTGTGTGATTCTTGCCTGTCAGGTTATTCTATCCATCCTTCAGTGGGGATTTAATCAGCATACTGGGGGGCTCCATCTGGTTCTTTTTAATATTGTGTTGATATCACAGCAACACTTGGGCAGTCCATCTCTTCTCTACCAACTGTCACGTTGTGGCTGGCCCACCTATCACTTTTTATACCTGCTCTTTTGTGGAAATCATCCCCCGTTTCCCCTCCATAGCCCCTTTTGTTAACTTTCTTTTCCCCTTTTCCTTTTCTCCCTGTCCCTCCACCCCACTAATGTGGAGCCAGAAGGGAACTTAGTCGAGTTCTGGGAATCTTGAAATCCTGAGACTCATTTTTTTCCCCCTTACCTTATTTATCACAGTGGACCAACTTGGTTGGCAGGTTGTATAAAATCTCATGCAACTGCTTTCCAGACAAGACTTGCATTCATCCCATAAACCTGTCAAAGACACCTGGCATCGCTTTTCCTCCGCCTCCAGTCTTTCTTTGACTTCATTCATAAGTTGCAGGGCCTCCTAATTGAGGGGGAGAAAATAACATGTCATTTCAATGTCAAGTGCCTCAGTACTTGCTGCTTTTAAAGTGAGTGTTTCTAAGCTATTTTTCCAAACCATTTCCCTTTCCCCTCTCAGCAGCTGACAGAGCAGCTTCTATTGTCTATTTGGATAGGACAGAAGTGGTCACTGATCAAGCAATTCTCTCTGTAGACAATATAAAGGCCACTAGGTGGACACAGTGGATTTAGGAAGACCAGTGGTCAATTCCTGCTTTAGATATCAGCTGTGTGACTCTGGGCAAGTCATTTGATCCCTCTCAACCTCAGTTTCCTTATCTGTAAATTGGGGATAATAATTGCATCTATTTCCAAGGGTTGTTGTGAGGATCAAATTAAATAATATTTGTAAAGTGAATTGCAAGCCTTAAAGTGGTATGTAAATGTTAACTGTTACTATAGGAAAAACAAAAACCTAGGGGCTCTAAAAATCTAAAACAATAACTTACATTTATATAGCTCTTTAAGGTTTACAAAGTGTTTTGAATATATTAACTCCTTTAATTCTACAAACAACCCTGTAAGGTAGGTTCCATTATTATATCTATTTTAAGGATGAGGAAACTGAAGCGTATAGAGGCATATAGAGGTTAACTAACTTGCCCAGTCACACAGGCAAATCCTGAGGCAGGATTTGAACTTAGGTCTTTCTAACTCCAAGTCTCTCATATTTCTTGTGCTACCTAGAAGACTGCCTCAAAGTGAATGTGTAAATTATAACTTTTATAGTCTATAAAACCATGAGATTCAGTTGCACTGAATGTCTGAATATATTGTTAAGTATTACATGTTAAGCAACATGTTTGGGATCAGATGACTCCTCCACATTAGGGGTGTCTAGATACCCACATGCCTGTGAGTACTACTGTCTATCAAAAAAGGCAGGGGTGTCAGGGCTGTCCAGGAGTGGAGCTGGGAACATATGGCTACAGGCGTGATATAGAAAGAGGAAGAGCACCCTCTAGTGGGTGCCTTTTGGTGGTGACAGAAAGGACTCCCCTCTGTCTTCCCATCCATTTTAGAGTATGGAAAGCGGAAACGGTGTGGAGCAATCCACCAGCTGAGCTTCCCTGGTCTACATTTTGTCCTAGGGGGATGAATAATCTCTTTCTAACTTTGTGTGACTCTCTCCCCTCTCTGCGCCTCAACTTTTCCTTATGCTTACAGAAAATGATTAGAAGAGACACCAGTTAACACTGCTAAAGTCCTCTAGAATACTCAGTAAGAAGCCCTAAGTAAAGATTAAAAAGCATTATTATTATTAATAAATTATTATATTAAACAGTAAATTATATTAAATATTAAATAATTATTAATAATTATTACTAATATTATTAATAAAGAATTTTGCAATTCTGAAATAGTGCATGAAATCCTGAAATGCATGATCCTAGGATGAAAAACTGTGGGTCCCAAGCCTTTGTAGAATAAATCCCAACTCCTCCCTCGATTAATAACATAAAATGAGTTCTGCTAAGTAAATTAAATTTTTATAAATAAAATTTTATCATTGTCTTACATTATGATTTCAGGGTCACCTAATTTTTGTTTTCTGTCATCTTCTTTGGGGGCAACTAGGTGGAACATTGGTTAGAATGATGACTCATAGTCAGGATAGACCTGAATTCAAATCCTGACTCAGATATTTATTAGTCAACTCCAAACTTATCTCTGGTCAGGTCACTTAATGTTTCTCGGCTTCAGTTTCCTCATTTGTAAAATGAAGATAATAATGACACTTACCTCATTGGGCTGTTGTGAGGTACGAGATAAATGCGATAAAATATGAATGTATAGTTCTGCATAGAAAATTTAGTACAAAGCCTGGCACACAGTAGGCACTTAATAAATGCTAGTTGATTGACTAGTTAACTTTAAAAATTTTAATGAAAATTATTCTTTTTTCTTTTACATTTATTAGGTATTTCTTTTTATGAAGTTATTCATTTTGGTTTTTTATTTTTTATTTTTATTTGGAGGGAGTTCAATATTGCTAATATGAGTAAAGAATGGTCCTTGGGGCTTGCACTTGGAAAAATCCTCTAGGTTTGTCTAAGTTTAATCAGGGCTTCCCCTAAAGCATGGCAGCTATTGTAATAAAGGTCCCTCTCCTCCTGCTGCTGAGACCTCAGGATCCTTTTCAAATGTTTTTCCTACTTGGCTCTTACTCTCTCAGTTATAGAGAGATGCATTTAATAAATGGCTGGTTTGGAGCTGGCTGGCTCCAACACATCCCTGGAATGATCAGACCCAAGCCTTAAGAGGAAAATTGGCCTCAGAATTGTAGTGAGGGCCCCAGAAACAGAGATGACCAGGAGATCAAAAGCTTTCATATCTGGAGACCATGACTAGATTTTGTTTCCCTCCCTTTTTAGCAAGTGGAAATGGAAATGAGCTTTGCCCAAAGAATCTTCCCTGGCACCTCACTGTCTCAGTGCCCTTTCTGTAGAATATGCTGCATTTAAGTGAAGCAAAACAACTTGTCAGGAAACCAATTCCCCCCCTTTCCTCCTGCTTGGGGTAAGGAGGGAGGGGGGAGCTTCATACCAAATAACAGGAAAACAGAAAAGTTCATAAGCCTAAACCAACATGAGAATGCAATAGATTTAGAGGATTCCAGGACATTTCCAGGGAGCAGAAGAAAGAACACTGGACGTGGCATCAGACTACGTTTCTGTCCCAGCTCTTTCACTCACTAGCTGAGTAACCTTAGACAAATCCCCTAATTTCTCAGGGCCTCAAACATCTATTGGACAGTCTGTGATTCTGTGAAATTTTAAATTGTTCTTATTCTTCCTTTAGTTTTATTGTCTAGGACTTCAAAATCCTAAGCTTTAATAAAAGACAAAATGTGATGTGTCATCAGGGAGATAAAACAAAGTGCTTTTCATTTCATGGGGTTCAGAGGAAGGAGAAGCAACAAATGGTTGGGATATCAGAGAAGGCTTCATGAAATGAGTGATGTGATTTATCTTACAAAGGTGAACATTCACCTAAACTAATTAACTAGAAATTCTAAATTTTTTTGAAAAATTCTTCATGACAAAAACGGAATGAATCACACATCAGTGATTAGCTTCTTTACCATTATAGGGTTTTGCACAGTAGGCTTTGTGTGAAACAATTTTGATTGTTTGTGACCTAGTTTGATTATCCATCTTATTTAACACGTAGATCTGAATTACCTCTAGCCTCATCCTCAAAGAATGACGACTTACCACCTTTGTGCATATTCAAAAGATTATGTTGCAAGCCATGAAGAAGGTTCCAAAAGTGTTTTGAGCAACATTAGCTTCATTGGAATGTGTAGAGTCTACCAAGTTGGTTACTTTGAAGGGAATAATGTGCTTTTATTTATGTACATTATGGTGTGTTTGCTTTAAAAAAAATTTACTAGTAATACCTTGTGGGCTACTGATTGTTATCTTAAACTGAATGTTTAGACATGCTAATGATATTGCGCCATTTTGCAAGAGCTAGCATAGTGAAAGGGTCTAATGAATCATGGAGTCTTACAGTTGGAAGGGATATTAGAAGCCATCTATCCAACCCCTACCCAAACAAGAATCTTCTCTACAACATACCTGACAGAATGGTCATCCAGTCTTTGCTTGAAGTTCATATACTATTAGGCTGCATTAATGAATAACTGTTAATGTCAGGAATTTTTACCTACTAATGTTAAAGGTTTCCATCAACACTATAAAGCTGAAAACAGCTAATCATTTCTTGTATTTCAATATCATACTCTTTAGTGATGCAGTGATATAAGAAAGTATAAAATTGAGTCTAGAAGATCAACAAGTCCTTTTGGTAATTGATACAGTGTGGCGTTAACACTGAGTTTCCAGACTGAAGATCTAAGAACTTATTCTTTGTGCATGTTAGGTCTACTCCAGCTTTGTACCTCTCATTCAGTTTCATCAGCATCCTCAGTGCTATGGAGCTCATGTGAAGACATGTTTTACTAGACACAGAAAGACTTCCTTCAGGTCTGACAGGACTTCCTTAGCTCCTCTCTACTACAGACCTTCCTCCAGGATGACATTATCCATTATTGACTTATGTAGCCGGCTCGGAAACTCCTTACTGTACTATCAGCTGGCCCATATCTCTTTATCTTGTCTATAAACAAGGTGCCAGAGACTTTGTCAAGTGCCTTGATGAAATGCAGGTATATGATGTCACTCGATGTTCCTTTGATCTAGACAATGTTGTAAACCAGTCAAAAAAGCAACAGCTAGGTGGCACAGTGGGTTAGAGCACTGGACCTGGAGTCAGCAAAGTCTGAGTTCAAATCTGGCTTTAGAAATCTGTATTTGGGGGCAGCTAGGTAGTGCAGTATAGAATGCCAGACCTGGAGTCAGGAATAAAATTTCATCTTCCTGAATTCAAATCTGGCCTCAGATGCTTATTAGCTATGTAACCTTAGTCCAGTCACTGAACCTTTCTTGGCCTCAGTTTCCTCATCTGTAAAACAGGGAAAACATTAGCATTTACCTCCTGGGGTTGTTGTGAGGATCAAATGAGATAACCTGTACAGCACTTTGCAAACCTTAATGTGTTATATAAATGCTAGTTATTATAAAAGGAAATGAGTCTGACATGCCTTGTTCTTGATGGAGCCATGCTAATGCCTAGAGATTACTGCTTCCCTTTCCGTAAGCTAACACAAAATCCATTAAAAATATGTTCTAGAATATTGCCAGGCACCAAAGTCAACCTACAGTTTGATAAACTCTCTTCTTTCTTTTTTGCTCAAAGTAAAAATTTCATAGAACACCTGAGTCATAGAGACAAAGTTCTCTCTAGCCTTTTATTTGTCACAATATGGGGTTAACTCTAGTGTTTAGGTTCAGGGCATTTATTAGCTGCATTATTAACAGATTACTGACTAAGAAGGTCACTAGAGAGTAACTGTGGGTATTTTTATAGCCCTTGAAAGTTTGCAAAACATTTTATATAAATTAATTCATCTGAGCCACACATCAACTCCATGAGATTAGCAACTGCAGGTATTATTATCCCCATTTTACAAATGAAGAAACTGAGGTTTGGAGAATGACTTGCCTATGGTCATACTCCATGTACATAGTAAATGTTGGAGGTGAATTTTAAAATTAGGTCTGCCTGAATTCATTTCTAATACCTGATTCCCTATTGCACAATTCACCCAAATTTTATCACTGTCAGGATGAGGAGATGAATCCCCTCTAGGAATCTTCAGGAACCTGCGGTGAGGGAAGGAAGTATGGGGTCAGCATGTGCTTTGGAGATCTACTAAGATATTTATTCATCTTTGAGATGAACACATCTGGAAGTCTTGGACAAATATTCAACTGATTTCTTGGGGGGAAATGCTTGGGAGGAAGGGACAGGTCTTCTCCTATTTAGAAGAAAACATGGAGGTGATAATTCAGGCAAACCCTCCCCTACCAAACCTGAATATAAGGTTTCAGAGAACAGAGAATTTGTTAGATTGCTGCTTTGGTCAGATATGACACGGCTATTGAGAAGACACACTCTCCCAGGAAGAACAGATTTGGGGGAAAAAATCCATTTGGAATCCTTCCCTCCTAGTGGGGTGTGCACAGATAGTGATGTCATCTATGCATAGCAAATACAGCAAATGCCTATTTGGGAAGCTGATTCTTGATGTAACCAAAATGATTGTTGGTTTATGAATGCTGGAGGGAATAATTGCTCGATTGGGCTAACCATCACAGTCTATTTTCTTGGCACATTTAGGGAACAAGACCATTTTCAATCACCTGTTTTTCTTTACTGCTTTTCTTCAAGGTTTTCATTAGCTCCTTATGTTTTACTTCATTTCTTTCCATCATGATTTTCATCTGCTTAATTCCAATCAAAGCTTTCTTCACCTCTTCATCTACATATTGCTCTCCAACCACAGACAAGCCTAAGAGAAGTACAGGATCTGTTTTTGGTTTTTGGTTTTTGCTTTGATTACACAACTACATTGCAAAACCAGTTCACCGATTTTTTATTCTCTTAAATACAGGCCTAATTGCTCTTTTATAGCATCTGACTCTGGAAGCCTTTCATAATGAATCAGCAATAAGCTGCCACCCCAACAACACCTTCTGTTCGTGTGTTGTGAGCGCCTCAGTGTGCTGTAGTTAATTGGACCTCATTCTTGTCACTTCCATCAGTGACCTATTTTTATTTATTCAATGTGTTTTTTTCATTTGGGAGTCAAAGTTTTGCCATTTAAAAAAATAAAAAGCATAAATCGAATGTATACAACCAGGACGTTGAAGATAATCTGTAACCCCAGTCTTTGTTCAAATAACCTCCATGGAAGCGTGAAAGAAAGAGCTATGCCTGGAAATTTCTGCACCTGGGCCAAGTTGGGTGGGTGGGAAGGAGAAAAGAAAATTCATCTCGGGGGTACTATTGTAGTACACCACCATGGGGTAGAGCATGTCAGTGCTTTCTCAAACACCCTTTAAATTTAGTACCCTAAAGCAAAGCCCCAGTCACTCCACTTTATTTATAGTTCTGAACAAAAATAATTGATTCATTGGCATGATCTTTCTCCCAGGAATAAGATTCTTTCATCTTTTTCTTTGAATACACTGTTTCCTAATTCTTGATGAATTGATTTAATAGGGCTAGAATTCATTGTTTGGTATCCCCGATTCTTTAAAAGAGTAAATTGGATTTTTAAAGAGTAATTATAAACCTTCAAAGCATTTTCTAATTTGTTCCTTTTCAACAAATTTAATTGTCAATATATATGAAATACCCATTATCAAGAAAAGGCCACATTTAATTCTTAAAATGAGAACTCAATTAATGACCATAGAACAGCTAGATGCAATATATTTGTTATTTAATTATCCACAGTATAAGGATAACTGTAAAGATGATCTTCGTTGCTTAATTTTTTTTGAAGTTGGAATCTCAGTTCATTGTTCACTATTTATGTGACACCAAACACCTGGATGGTACTGGAAATCCTGTCAAAAAATGGTCAGTTTTATCTCTACAATACCAACCAGCTGGCTATGGAAAAGTATTCAGATAATTGGCCAAATTTTTCCATTTCTGTCCAGATGTTTGGCATCACGTCTCTGCAGCCTCTATGTTTAATATCAATCAGCCCTAGAGAAAGTTTTACAACATTATGAAACTGAAGGGCCGTAATGAAAGCTGTTATCTCATAACTGTGAGCCCTAGTAAATGCCAGCAGTGCATAGAAACAGGATAAGGGAGATAAAGAAAGCAAACCTACTCTTTAGGTTTTCACTGAGATCAGTTGTGTCTTTCCAAGTAGGTGCACACTGACAGCCTTTCAGCCATAACAGATGCACAGTAAACATCAGAATTGGAGGCTTCATGTTCCCCATTACTGAAAAAGAAAAATAAACCTAAATTAAGTGCTAGCCGTTAGGTTGTTATTTTCAATTCAGTATCAAATGGAAACATATGTTACTCCAAAACATGTTTCTGTTGAAAGTTGACTACTTTCACTTTATGAGCTGAGACCACATACACTTATTTTAATGCTTCTATTTGAGGGTATTGAAAAGACTAAAATTGATATAAAAAGGCAAAGATTATTGTGTTTGCATTCCTGCTGATGGCTATAGAAGGACACTATCCCAAGAATCACCAGCCAACGTAAGGCCTCATAACCTCACAGATTCAAAACCTTATTTTTAAACTAACTTTATTAAATGTAAAGATCTCTAAGAAAAGTGGAAATGTAGCCATAAAAATGTTTTCCAAAATTCTAATTTTTCAAATTGGTTTTATACAGAAATTTCTCTAATTTACTTATTGTTATGAAAGCAGAAAGAGCTATTTATAATTTTCCCTCTTTAAAAACAACAACAACAACAAAACACCATAAGGGTTGATAATACCATATGTGGTAGGGCCAACAAAACTTAAACTACCTCAAAGCTTTTCCCTAATGTCTTTTCTCTATAGTTTCTATGACTCCTTTGTATTATGTATGGAAAGATATGGTTCTTAGAATTTCACAAACTCATGTGCTTTCCTTTCTCACCCTGATGAATGCAGATGAATCAATCTTCCTTGATTAATAATATATACATGCATATATACATTAATACATAACGATTAATAAGTAGATCCGCTGAAGTTTAATCTTCCTTCTCTGTGGAATTTGAGGCAATACTTTACAGGTAAATTCCCAAGGGGGAAAGTAGAATATCATAAGCTCCTCTACAAAGCCTTTGAAGCTATATTTGAGGGAATAAACTCAAGTTATAAGGTCTTGAATTTTTTTTATAGTACACTTAAACAATATTTAATCAGGTTACAATTCACGCAAATTATTATGTATAATATATGTACATATGTAAAATACAGAACTCTTATTTTTCCACTAAGAATACATATTCAATTAATTTCATAATAAATTAGGAGCAGCTACTAAAGTAAACTTTAAATATATACATATATGTATCTTATATTTGTATCATATCATTATATATGTATTATATCATTATATCTTATATTTACCAGTAATTTTGAAATTTTTCCCTTGTAAAGTTGCTTCTCAGTGGCAGGAAAGAACCTCACTTTGCTCTGATCTAATTTTCATCTGTGTCAAGGATTTAGCATTGTTCTCTTTATCTGATGACAAGGTCCTTAATCTCATTAATGAAATGTTTTGCTGTTAGATAGAAGGCTTGCTGTTGGTTTATGTACTAAAACCTTTTGGGGCTTAAAAGTAAACACTAGGGGGAGTGTTGCACAAACTGTTGGGCCCAAAGACATTTGTCATTTCACAATTCAGACACATTTCTGGTTTCTATAAACCATTTTGAGCCAATTCTATATTTTAAGAAAATACATGTTGAGATTAATTTAAGGTCTTAAAGGCTTGTGTATTTTAGAAAAATCTCTGGCATGTGGCCTTAAAATAAATTTTATGAAGAACCTAAAAAAATTAGTTCCTCGTATACTCATACTCCATAACTTACATGAGAAGCCAGACACAAGGGAGGAAGACCAAAAATGTTTTTGGAAAATATAGCTCAAGATCAAAGAATTAAAAAGATTATGGTTCTCCATTCCTGAAGAGGACCATGACATCAGGGAGATGATGACACGACTTGCAACTGACTTTGGTTTGAGTGAGGGAGGGCTGTGCAAAGTCACCAGCCTCACTTTCTGCTCCAGAGCCATCTGGGTCCAGTGGCCAGATATTCATCAGGATGACTGGAGATGGCCCAGGATGCAATGGGAGGCCCTGGCCCTTTTAAGCTAAGGTCTTTTCAGGTTCTCACTTTGAGTAAGCTAATGCCGTTTCATGTTTCATATAATTTTTTTCTCCATGAAGAGAATAAAGATACTGGGTTGGGTAAATACCAATGACGCTGCAAAACATTAAATTGACTCCAATACCCCAACGGATTTATGATATCATTGATGAGGATGCTCTGTCCAACAATACAGAATACAAACCACTAATGTCTACTTGTCTTGTGTGATTCCTGTCCATGTTATTCTGTAAATTTACCACAGTGGAGTACACCAATGTGCTGAGGGACCCTTCTTATGTTCTTTTGTAATAACATGGATACTAATGGCATATACATGCTGTCTACTTTTCTCTCACCATTGCTAATGCAAATAGAAAATAATTGTTATTAATTATTTATATGATTATGCACATCTGAACGAACAGGAAATACCTGGTCACTTCTGACTGTGTACAGATAATTGATTGGATAAAGCAAAACCAATACTAATTTAGAAGATTAAAGGTGACAGATATTTGTGGTTATAGCAGTTTCAACCCTACCTGTGTGAACAAACCATTAACTAAGAAAAACCTTTAACTTAATAAAATGATATTGACTCAATCACCTCAATTCTGAGGTGATGTGAAGCACCACAAGAATAATGAAAGAAATAACACTTAATGGTTGTGGTACAAAATGACTTGAAAAACATGGAGGAGGAAGAGGAGGATGAAAGACAGAGAAGTATCATCTCACTAAATAGTGAAGAGCAGTTGAGAAGACAATGGGCCTATAGAGAGTTTGGCATGAGACCTAGTCAAACTAGGTCATCCTAAAGGCATTCATAGATGAAACTTGGAGGAAAAAAAACCCCAGATGTCAAATGGAATAGATCTGTGGGTAGTCTCATAGTAGTCTATTTTTATCAACATGAATAGTGGAACCCTCATATTTGGGCTCTACTATCTTAGTATCTTGTATCCAAGAGTTAGCAATAGGGATCCTTAAGGATCCAAAGCAAGAAAGAGCTGCAAATCTGACTAAGTAGAAAAAAAAATACAAATTGAAAGGCAATAAAGATTGATTTCTGAAGATAAATCTAAAAGGAGAAAATTCAAAAAGGGCAGAAAAGATTGTAGCCCCCAGAAGGCAACCAAGAAAACATTGGCAATTCCCAAACCAATAGCCATTTTCTCATCTATACAATATCTTTATGAGGATGGTCAGTACACACACATCAAGGTTATCTTGGATGAAAATAAGTGAAGGGAATGAACAGGCTTTCCCAGCTTCAATGTACAGCCAGAGTTCATCTGTTTTTTCTTTTGAGGTGGATTTTTTTTTTCATCACGAGTCTTGATCATAATTACAATAGTGCTGTTATGTACACATTAAGCATTTAATAAATACTTTTTAAATTGACAGATTGACTGATTCTCTAGCAGTACAAAGGGTTTCTAGATGCTCAAGTTTGAGTACATTATGAACCCCAGAAAACTACAATTCTTCTTCAATGAGATCTGTGGTCATTTGAAAAAGGTTAGCTTATCCATAGATAATGGAAATCTGCCTATATATATAGTCATTGATCTAGATGCCATAGATAGTAGCTATAACATAGGAAGAGGAATAGCAGTAGAGAAACACAGAAATTCTTAGGAATTGTGCTTTGTACCCCTCTAATCCACTTTTCTTGTAATATTGTGTGGTTTTGATATCTGTGTTGATGTCTTATCATGCTACTAAAAGGCTTTAAACTCTAGAGCAGGAGTTCTTAATTATTTTTGCGTTGTAGACTTCTTTGGCAGCCTGATGAACCCTTTTCAGAATAATATTTTTAAATGCATAAAATAATACATATGATTACAAATAAAAACACAGGATGCAACCATGTATACATACATATACACATATACATATATGCAACATACACATAAAATGTATATATACATGTGTATACACACACACACACACACACACATCACCTCTGGGAGCAAATATCAAGTCCTATTTATCACTTGTCCCCTTCCTACTTTTCCACTCTTCTTACACACTGTTCCCCATTCTGCCTCCACGTATTCTGAGATTCAGTGACACTGGCCTCCTTGCTGTTCTTTACACAAAACAATCCATTTCTTAACTCCAGGCATTTTCACTGGCTGTTCTCCATGCTTGGAATTTTCCCCTTCTCTTTTTCACCTCCTGGCTTCCTTCAAGTCTCAGGTGATGTCCTACCTTCTACAAGAAGCCTTTCCCAGTCCTCCTTAGTTTTAGCTCCTTCTCTCTGAGATTAGCTCCAATTTTTTCTGTCTATATCTCATTTGTATGTAGTTGTTTATATGCTGTTGTAATATGCTTTCCATTACACTGTGAGTTCCTTGACAGCAAGGACTATTTTTTGCCTTTCTTTGTATTTGCATGCTCAGTACAGTGGCTGGCACATAATAGTTTCTTAACAAATTTCTTTTTTGACTTTGTTGGGTCATTTTATTGTATTAATTACTCATGAGTTAACTATTTTGGCTGGGGGAATCTTTCAACACCATGACAAAGCAAGTTGAGTCAAACCAAATATTTGGCTAAGACATTCTTGGAACCATCTGGTTTGAAGAGTTACTATCCTTCCCTACACACAGGCTTGGATTACCCTAGAGAGCGACTGGCTATTTGCCCAGCAGCCAATGGAATATCCAATACTTCTGGTACATTTCTCAGAAAAATGAAGGGTAGCTGTAGCTTGCTGCTCCTAGAGAGGTGACCTAGCAGCTGGAAATTATGGGAATTTGCTTGTCCAGGAATCTGACCCTGCCCATATGCATCAGTTTGTTCATCCTCAAAATGGTGTCTACTTTTGTGCATACACCCAACTAGACAAGGCAATAATTCCAAATCCAAATTGGTTGCAAAATAGAAACAGCTTTCAGAAGGTCAGCAGACTCCCTAGCTCATTATATATATTTTTTCCCTTAGCCCTTATTCCTCCTTTAAATATAATTTCTGGGAACAGAACTTGACTGCAAATTAATAGTAATGACTGGCAAATTATTCTGATGCTTCCCAAAGTTTTCCTTCTTTAATTACCTCATCTGTTTTTCTAGCTGTCTTTTTGTCCTTAAGAT